ATTAAAAGTAAAAAATAAACTTTTTCTAGAAGTATTAATATTTCATTAAAACCCTTTTCCTTTCAGGATATCCTTTCGTCATTTCCTTTCCATTTCCCAGTATATACTAAGTCTTTGTGCATTAATGCATGATCAGCCTTAAAACCATTTTCTGCTATTTTAGACATTATGACTGATTTGTTTATTGCCAGTTTTCCCCAAGAACTAAGTTTTATTTATGCATAGAGGAGATCGGGTCACAAATTATGTTTCAAAATTTCCAATAAACATTTATTATTTGTTGTGATTTAATGAAAACTGAGTTTAAAAACATATATACTGGGGCTGGCAGGTGGCATGGTGGATAAGGGCGCTCAACTACCCTATGGCTGACCACGATTTGAGTCTTGGACCTGGTGGCTTGCTTTCTCACTTTCCCTCTCTCACTTTCTCTCTCTGTGTCTTTCTGGTCAAATTTTAAAATAAAATGAATGAATAAATAAAATTTAATAAATAATTCTTTAAAAACATATATACTATTTATATAATATATATTAATATATTATTTATGTTAGTAATCTTCCATTTCTGTTTCTTGGTAAGCTATATATTAAGTCTTCATATTTTCTTTCTTTCTTTTTTTCTTTTTTTGGAGTGGTTTTTGCTATAGGGTGCGTGCGCTCGCCAGACAGACAGACAGAGACAGAGGTAGAAAGCGAGAAATCACCCCAGGGGGGATGGCCACGCCGCAATCCCTTCTCCTCCATTCTCCTCTCAGGATCTTGGGCACGCATGCACATGAGTTTAAGCCACCAGGTCTGGGACTCGAACCACAGTCAACTACGTGCGAGTCCAGCAACATAGCCATTACGCTAACTGCTGGTCCCAAGTCTTCATATTTTTTAAGATATTCAAAACTTCATTAACTTTTCAACTAATTTTGGAAAATTAATATTGCCTGAAAAATAGATTAAACCTTATTTTCTTTGTAATTTAAGTTGAGTTTTTGGGTTTGTTTGTTTTGTTTTGTTTACTTTTTACTATAGGCTTGTATCCTCACCAAAGAGACAGTGAGAGAGCAATCACACCCCAGGGGGCATATCCAGACCACAGACCCTTCTCTTTCATCCTCCTTTCAGGATTCTTAGCCACGCACACACACACATACATACATACACACATGCCTGACATGTTTTTCAAGCCACTAGGCTTGGGACTTAAACCACTCAGTTGGCTGTGTGGGATCCAGTAGGCCACAGGCTGGCCCTGTGAGCTTTGTACATTTTAGTGAGTGCTTTTCCCATCTGTTTTCCCTCGTTCCTAACATGAATATTTTTAGTGTTGGGATTTTTTGAGTGTGCCTTAGAGGTCTTTTTGGTTTGTTTGGGTTTTCTTTGGTTAAAGATATGCACACATAAACACACATATGTAAAATTTTTGGCTTTTTATTAAACAACTATAAGAAAGAAGACTTTGCTTTCTTTTCACATCTCAAAGTAATTCTGTCTGTAAGTTCCTTATATTGAGATCTGGCTTTCGGCTGAGTTTTTATAAAAATTTCCATTTTCCTTTTTTTTGTTTTTGTTTTTGTTTTACTATACTAGTGCCCAAAATTATTTAAACTTTTTGGGCTGAGCCAGCTAGGCGATGTGGTAATTAAGGCAGCTAGATCCCACATAGCTGACTGCTCAGTTGGATCTTGGACCTAAAGTTTAAAAAACACACTGCTGGGGCTGGCAGGTGGCATGGTGGTTAAAGCGCTGGACTCCCACATTGCCAACAGCAGTTTGAGTCCCAGACTAGTGGCCTGCTTTCTCACTTTGCCTGCCTCTCTCTCTGCGTGTGTTTCTCTGTGGTCAAATTAAATAATAATAATAAATAAAATTAAATAAATAATTATTTTAAAACACACACATACTGGGCACATGTGCATGCATGCCCAAAATCCTAAGAGGAAAATGAAGAGGGGATTGCAGTATAGTCATCCCCCCTAGGGGGGTTGCTCTCTCACTTTCCCTCTTCTCTCCCTCTTTCTCCAGAGAGCACACACACCATATAGCAAATATTAGAAATGATTAAAATCAGCCTTATAATATTGTAAAGAGTTTGTTCCATTTAGGTAATTATGAAAATGAGAATAAGCCAATTACTTGTTTCATTATCAAAAGAATATCCTTCATATTCTGTTGTGATTTGTTTTTTTGCCCTTCTGATTCTAAAAAATTTTCCTGGAATAGTTGAAAGACATAACACCAGGAAAATTCCAACATTTATCTAGTCACTGCCCCTTCAGGTTGGGCTTTTAGTACTTTTTGGGGGGAGAGGTTTTTGCTATAGGGCATATGCACTCGCCAGAGAGAGAGAGAGAGACAGAAAGCGAGAAATCACCCCCCAGGTGGATGGCCACGCCGCAATCCCTTCTCCTCCATTCTCCTCTCAGGATCTTGGGCACGCATGCACACGTGGCCGGAGTGAGTTTAAGCCACCCGGTCTGGGACTTGAATCGTGGTCGACTACATGGGAGTCCAGCGACATAGCCATTCTGCTAACTGCTTGTCCTTGGTCTTTTAATACTATTCAGTTTTTCCTATCAAGACTGGTTCCCTTTTTTTTTTTCAGGAGATATTAAAAAATGCCATCAGCTGCAGTCTTTATTGCAGGAAGAAGAGTTTAATTGAAGAAATAACACTGTAGTGTTTTAAATAAATGGATCTCTGACACATTTTTAAGGCTTTATATAACTTCTTTAAGAAAAATTTAAAACAGACGCAATAATATGATAAGGTACACTGAGAAGTTCAATGTTTTAGGAAGAACTGAACCTTGTAAATAAGGGTATGCCTTGATAGAATTTATGAATAAAAGTGGATCTCCCTGGGGCCGGCTAATGGCGTGGTAGTTAAGAGCACTGGACTCCCACATGGCTGACCGTGGTTCAAGTCCTGGACCAGGAGGCTTGCTTTCTCACTTTCTCTCTCTCTCTCTTTCTGTCTCTCTCCATCTCTCTCTGGAAATATTAAATATAATAATAATAATAATAAAGTTAAATGAATAATTCTTTTTTTTAAAAAGTAAATCTCCTCTGCTAAATATAAATTTCTTAACCAAAGGAAGGCCTTCATTCTTTTTTCCGTTATAAGCCTAACTTCCCTTTCCTTAATAATACTGGCTTTATGACTGTTAGAGAAAGAATGAAGTGAAAGGTTCTTTTTCTATTAGATTTGGATGTAAATTTTCATAATTATTTTAAATTCGTTATGCTGAAGATTTAAAACAAATGACCATTTAGTTGGTTGTTACAGAAGGAATGTCACATTATCATCACATGGTAAGGCATGAAATTTATTTACTTTACATAATCAACCTCTACTTAAAACAACCTGATACAGATATCCCTCAGTCAATAGATGGCATTATATAGTACTTAGTTTGGGGTTTTTTTTTTTCATTTTTTTCTGGAGATATTAAAAAATGCCATCTTTGTTTGTCTCTGACTGGTACTTCCAATAAACAAAATGTTTTTGAAAAGAATGTAAGCAAATTGTCAAGCAGTTGCCAAGATATGAAATCTAGACACTTAGCTTCAGTCCAAAACATATTTTATCTGTTTTGAGAATAATTGTGTAGGCCGTAGTATGCATATTTTAAATGCAGTGTAACCATCTGAACTTTTTATTGTTCAGAAAAGTTGATTATTTCAGATGTTTTTCATAAAAATTCAGAATTTCTAGCTCTGATCTTTAAAACAACAACAAAAAAGCATAAACTATACCATTTCTGGTTTTCTTTAGTTAACTTACTGTGTTGTCACATTGTAAAATTTATCTTGGTTAGAGGATTCTAAAGTTACCAGATTCTTACACCACAGGACAAATTTTAAGCCCCTTCTGTTCTGAAACTGTAAAGTAGCTTAAGATTGCCTTCTCAGTCTAACCACCCACTGAAGTACTTTCTGAACATAAAAATATGTTGTTCTTTCCCCCACTCGCTCTTGAAAAAGTATTCATCATATCAGCTGAATAATTTTACTCCCAGAAGACTACTACCCTTTTAGTTTTTTCTATTACATCTTAACATTAAACAATATCTTTTTTCAAACAGATACTTCAATTTTAAAAGCACTGAGGTTTGAAGTTTAGACATGATAAGTTTTCAGAGAAACAACAAAAATTTTCCCTAATGCTTTAACATTCTGGGTTTATCTGGAGATTAAAAAAAAAAAAAAAGGAGCTATTATTTTTGGTAGCACAAATATACATTAATGTACAACTGTAGTCCTCAGCTCTACACGGACTCAGCTGTCACGTAGCTGTATGCGGGTCATCCATTTCCTATTAATAATGTTAATGCTCTTATTTTTTTACACCGTTCATCACTGGGGAATATTTTGACTGCGGAAAATGTTTATTTGAGATTTGTCTAGAATGTGAAGAAAAATAAACTGGCTTATTACTTTTCAAAGCCTTTTTAAACATTTCTCCCATTATTTTAATTTTTAAATACTAGAAAAAATATCATTTTTCTCTTAAATGAAATCAGAAAAAAAATACCTTTAAACTATATTTGGGCTCACTTAATAGCAATTACGTGTTTAGGAGGTGTAAATAACTTGCTATCAGACGTTACAAATATCCAGGTGCTCTGTATGTGCTGATGACAACAAAATTGAAAAGAAAGACTGTAATAATTCTGACTGGTTTTCTCTGCAGAAGATATTGATTATTTGTGTGTGGTGAGAGATTTGGAAAATTCAATTAAAGGAGTTGTGCAAAGGTTTCATAAATTTTCCTTCTACAGCGTGTACACAGACATTGTTGCGTATTAAATCAATGCAGCACTTCACAATATATTTTCTTTGAAACATAAAAATAAATAACATTTAAACAGTTCTGCTTACTACAGAAACAAATTTTATTTTCTGTGAAGCAGTTAGTCATGTGCTATCACTGACTCATACACACTTGCCAGCTGTAACAAATTTTATAGACGTTTTCCCCGGAGACATCTCTCACATACTATGAATTTTTAAATGAGCAAATGGTGAAGAGGGGATGTCAGCAATATAAAAATTGATCAGTTAAAAGATAAAAGCATAAGTAAAGAGATTTGTATGGTAGTCTTAATAGGTTTTATTAAATAAAAATACTATAAAAAGACAGTAATGAATAGACTGAAGACTAACTGTTCTTGAGGCGGAGAAAAATTATTCTGGCACATTTAGTAGAAATTGGTTTCATGTCACCTGATCAGTGAACACTTTTCTTTTTCTTTTTCTATTTTAACCCTTAGAGTAGTCCAAAAAAAAAGCCTCAAAAAGGATTAGATAAATTCTCTAAGTGGTTTACATATTTTAGAAACATATATAGTAATAAAGCAGATATTTATGGTATTATATAGCTACTTATATAGTAAAAAGCAGGACTCGTGTAATAAGTAAATATTAGATGACTTTCCCTCCCACTCAGATCCCAGAGAGGAAGGTGGTCATTCTCATTCACACTGCTTACACCATATGCTTCAGCTCTGCGGAGTCTCCAGACTCTCGGCCTCCCCGTTCTTCCCTCTGTGCAGGTTGCTTTCTTCCTTCTCTGTCCAGCACATGCCTGCTCGGCCTTCCAGGTCCACCTCAGAGGTCCCAAATGTGAAGCTCTTCTAGGTGAAACTAAATCATTCCATTCTATAGGCCTACAACATATATCTGAGTATTTATAAATGGATCGAGTTGCAGTGCACTACAGTTGCTGGCTACAAGGCTCTTTCTGCATTTCCTTTGTTTTATTTTAAGATTATTTTTTAGAATTATTTTAAATTTTTTATTATTATTAATATTCTTTGCTATAGGGTACATGTGCTCACCAGAGAAAGAGAAAATGAGAAAGCCAGCCACCAGGTCTGGGACTCAGACTTTGGTCGGCCACATGGAGTCCAGAGCCCCAACTACCACGCCACCTGCTGGCCTCCCTTTGGCAAATAAACAAAAAGTTCTCTCAACTGTATTCTCAGAGCCTAGTACAGAATATGGAGAGGAGGTCCACAATACAGTACAATGAATGTGTGATGAACAAAAACAAATTTATTAAGAATTATGTGAATACTTCCAAATATTTACAAACTGCATTTGTGTTAATGTGCCTCAATAATCAAATGTTTATTGAAGAGCCAGGCTCATTTTGATCCATTTATTCTACAACAAGTTTGAACTATTTCCTGAAAACAGTCTTTTTTCTTTCATTTAGAATTACATCATCTTGACAGCTATGAATTTCTTAAAGCCATTTTAAACTGAGGTATTGTTTCACCTTTCTAATTCAGTGTTTACCTTGTTACATTTCACTGTTTTGCTCAGGTAGAAACATTTTAATTACATGATCAGATTTGGTACTGTTTTTCTAGCAGAAAACAGTGATGTGAGCTTTGGGGCTTTAGTTGAAATTATATGTAATCTGTTCATATAAACAACAGGAGGGCAATCACAAGATCTGTGAGTTAGAGGCTGAATGAAAAAGAATACTGCTGAGTTGACTCGTCTAGCTTTACAAGTCAGAGCATATTTTAACTGAGTCTAACTAAAGAGGGCCCTTAACTGAGTACCTTTCCTATAAATAGCTAAAGAGATGCTGACAGGTGGGTTATAGTTTCAATAGGACACATCTGACTGAATAAGATATAACAAGTCCGTTAAATCTGGAAATGTGCTAAATTGATTAAGTAAATCAATACTTATTTATACCTTTCTTTCAAAACAATTTCTATCCATCAGCAATACAAATACAAATACTATGTTTATAAGTAGTTTATTATAGCATATAAAGTAGATGCAATACAAGCCACATTGTGATATTAGTGTTCAGCGAACTGAAGGCTCACAGATTCTTTTTTTTTTTTTTTTGAGAGGTTTTCGCTATAGGGCGTGTGCACACGCCAGACTGAGAGAGATATAGAGATAGAAAGCGAGAAATCACCCCCCAGGGGGGATGGTCATGCCACAATCCCTTCTCCTCCATTCTCCTCTCGGGATCTTGGGCACGCATGCACACGCGCCCGGTGTGAGTTTTAAGCCACCGGGTCTGGGACGCGAACCGGGGTCAACTACGTGGGAGTCCAGTGTCATAGCCATTACACTAACTGCTGGTTCCCAAGGCTCACAGATTCTTACAAGCTAACCAGATACTGCCTGCTATGCTGTAGGAAAAAATTAATGCAAAGTGAAAGAATATATTATATTCCAAAAATACATTTCTTTGGAAATGGTATTTCAAGTGATTGATAGTAGTTCCCTAACAAACTGTTGGATTATCAGAAAAATCATGACATATTTTCATGTCTTTCTGTGCAAAAATGCGTCATGACTTTTTAGACAGCCCAATAGTTTGTTTTGTTTTGAGAACAAATGTTTTGTTCTCAAAGTATTTACAAAGCATCTTATACAGAAAATTATGTCATTTTTATCCACTAGAAAGTTAATTCTGTGATAGATAATAAGTAATAGCTTATGGGCCAGCAGGTGGTGTAGTGGTTGAGGTGCTGAACTCCCACATGGGCGACCATAGTTCAAGTGCTTGATCTAGTTAGTGGCTTGCTTTCTCACCTCCCCTTTCTTTCTCCCTGTGTCTCTCTCTGATCCAATTTTTTTTTTTTGGGGGGGGGGCGGAGGGAGGCTTTTGCTATAGGGATTGTGTGCTCACCAGAAAGAGACAGACAGACAGACAGTAATAAACCACCCCCCAGAGGGGATGGTCACACCACAATCCCGTCCTCCATTCTTCTCTTGGGATCTTGGGCATGCATGCCTATGTGCCCAGCGTGAGTTTAAGCCACTGGGTCCGGGACTGGAACCAAGGTCGGCTACATGGGAGTCCAGCGACTTAGCTATTACGCCATCTGCTGGTTCCTCCAGTCAAATTTTTAAAATAATAATAACAATGAATAAAATTTGATTTTAAAAATAGCTTTATAATAACAACTAACATATATTGAGTATTTTCTATATGTCAGGCGCTGTTAGAAACACTTTTTACATATCCCATTTAATCCTAACAACTTTTTTTTTTTAAGAATTATTTATTTATTTATTTATTTAATTCCATTTGTTGTTGTTATTATTTTAAATTGAACAGAGAGAGAGAGAAAGGGGAAAGGAAGAAAGCAAGCCACCAGGTCTGGATTCAAACCATAGTAAACCCTGTGGGAATCCAGCACCTTACCCACTACACCACGTGCTAGCCCCGATCCTAACAACTTATGAAGTAGATACAGGTATTATCTTTATTTTATAGGTGAGGAAACTGAGCAACCAAGAGAGTAACACTGTCTCGGAATCACCTAAGAGACAGAACCAGAATACTGAGCTGTGTGACCTGGGGCCAGAGCCTATCTCATGACCACTGCACAGCAGAAGTTGTGAGTGTCAGCTTTCACCACTGGTCAAAGATTTGTATTCTGTGAAGTAAGGAGATAGTATATATGCATGCACGTGTATCCATTCATTATAGGCTCACATGTTTCGTAAAATCTCTGAAACATGAAAATCTCACAGAACTATATCAGATAGTGATTTCTGATACATACTCAGTTACGTACTTAGTGAGTGACCATACACATTTTGTATAGTATAGGGAACTTAGAGTACTGAGAATAGCTTTGTGTTCATAGATTCTAGTATAGTCACCAGATTTTAGGGGTGTTCTTTTGAATCTATAATTGAGCAGTACTTTCAGAAAACCTAAAAGAATTAAGGTGGAGCTGTCAGTCGATCCTCCCCCGCCCCTCTTTTTTCTATTATTAGAGAGTGCATGCACTCGCCCTAAAGAGAAGGCATCCCCACTAGAGTGTGCCACACCAGAATTGGGGATTTGGGGCACACTGGGAATTTTGCTTCTCAAGTTGCTGGGCTGGGATATGAATTGCAAATTGGCCATGTGGACTCTGGCTGCCCATGCCCAAGATTCAAACCTCCACCCATTGGTGCCAGCCCCAACTTCCCTTTTCATGAGAGGCAACCAGAGGTGATGGTGAAATGAAGTAACTTCACCTTCGAGGCATTTCCCTGGTTTTACTTTTGACCCCACTTTTTTCTCACTTTGTACATGACCTTCATGGTCTCACTCAGTCTCTTAACTTTGTTTTCACCTAGTGTATACGTGTCCTGTATCTAACTGTGACTTCCCTCTTGAGCTATTAACCCACAATCTCAGCTGCCATACAGTGTCGTTGTCCCGCCCCAAGTATACTGATGTCATCATTTCCCCTTCAAAATTGTTCTTCCTTCTACTTAAGGATTATATCGTCCCAATGATCAGGCTCAAAACTTCAAAATTCTCAGGGCCAAGCAGTGGTGCATTACTAACCAAATGGACCCACATGTGAAGGGTATTGAGTTCGCATCCCAGGACCTCCCTGAGCACACTGGGTGCATACTCACATGCCTATGATCCAAGGGGGCTGAGACTGGGGCTGGGGGTACATTGCAGCATGAAGACACTGATGGAAGCACCCCTCTCTTCCCACCCCTTTCCCTCAAGAAATAAGCTAAAAACAAAAACCCTCAGAATTGTCTCTATTTCATTCCGTCCTAACATCCAAATTCCAGGTCAGATCACTTCTGAAAATGTTTAATTCTTCTTCCCATGCCCACTGGGCTGGTTAATTCCTTTATTACCTCTCATCCATTATCCCCATTGTAACCTACCTCTCTGCCATTTGGTCCATTCCCCTACAGCCTGCCCTGCTACTGGGCAAATCTATGCTTTGGAAGCTGTTCTCTATCACATTCATAAAATCCTAATGTAGACTGACATCAGGTCCCAGTGACCACAGCGGTGCCTTCCAACTTACCTTTCTCCTTGTGCCTCATTCACTTCCAATTACTTGTCATTTCTCAGACGTATTTCTAAAGTGTCTTTCCTGCTTCCTTACCTTAGTTCTTGTCTCCTCTACCTAGCATGCCTTATTGTCAAAATCCTACCCATCTTTCTTAAACCTGCTCTGAACTCTAAGAGCCTCCCCAAGTCCTGGGCCTCCCCAGGTCCTGCTCACCATGTTCTCTCGTTGCTTTTCTTTTGTTCATTTGTCATGGTCGCTCACTAGTATAAGGGGCTATCAAACTCCTGGGTTTTGTCCGATGCCCCAGAAACTCCTACACACGTGCTACTCCCGATACCATGGTGGCCCACTCCCACAGTGTTGCTGCGCAGCTGCCCTCCCTCGTCCTTAAACAGTTCCTCTTGACCTATTCTATCGCATACAAATGCACTCACAGAGCCTTTAAAAAGTGAAGCCTTTATGAAACAATATTTCATATGAGAAAGAGAATAAGGAGACAGCCACTAGAGGCCACCTGCAGAATGCTAAGATCACCAAAGGGGAAAAAGAAAAAGCATGATTTGGGCTAATGTTAACCAAAGCTACTGGCCCATTTTATCTGTAACAATTTTTTTTTTTTTTGGAGAGGTTTTCACTGTAGGGCGCGGGCGCTCGCCAGACAGACAGAGAGAGACATAGAGACAGAAAGCGAGAAATCACCCCCCGGGGGGATCGTCATGCCACAATCCCTTCTCCTCCATTCTCCTCTCGGGATCTTGGGCACGCACGCACACGCGCCCGGCGTGAGTTTTAAGCCACTGGGTCCGGGACACTAACCGCGGTCGACTACGTGGGAGTCCAGCGACATAGCCATTACGCTAACTGTAACAATTACAGTTCCCTATCTGTAACAATTTTGATAAAACACTTGGCTAACATGCCTAAGCTCAGTAGGAATAAATCACTATGTTTAATGACAGCCTTTTGAAACCTGATAATCAAGCTAAGGACACAAGACTTAGGAAACAAAGTAAGGCAACTATAAGTAATACAAACTCAGACCCTTCCTGCCAGGGTTCTGACCCATAGCAAGTGCAAAAAAGAACCGTGTGTCCAGTGAGGCCCAAAGTACCAACCTGAGGTCTAGCTGCATAGCACAGTGGTAAGTGCTGTGCCTTAGGAGCCGGATCCCACATAGTCAATCACGATTGAATCCTGGCTCCAGCAACTTAACAAACATGCTGGGTACATGTGCATGCATGTCAAAAATCCTGACAGGATGGAGAAATGGAGAGGGGTTGTGGCATGACCATGTCCCAGTGGGGGGTGTTTTCTCTTTCTGTGTCTCACTGGCAACTGCACATGCTCTCTGGTAACATAAAAATATGTATATGAACTTGATTAGTGGAGGAATGGAAAACCTTCAGCACAGCAGGTCTTCTGGTGGGAGCCAGGGGTGTAACTAACGTGCTTGTGTCTCAGAGCAGATAAAGAGCCTCTTCTCTCTCACATTGAATCAAAACCTTGAACTCTGCTCTCCTGAACCTGAGGTCAAAGCTGGATCTTTGAAATAGACCCCTTAAGTCTGTGTGCTGCTAACTTTACAAAAGACCACAGACCTGCCTTACAGACCTGCCTTACAGGCTTTAGGTCAGAGTGCTAGAATGAGTTGGTCTTACTACACGGAGTAAGTACCACAAGGACCCACTGAGCGGGACCAGGTGGTGGCACAATAGTAAAATGTGATGCTCTGTGAAGGTGACACACATAGGAAGATTCTGGGGTCATAGCTGGAGGCCTCCCTGAGTATGCCAGGCATACACATGCCTCAGTGCTGGCTGGGGCAGATTGGGGGCATCAAGACCCTATAGGGGCTACTGTCTCTGTGTCTCTCATTTGCTGAAGGAAGGAGGGAAAGAAAAACTTTAAAAAAAAAAAAAGAAGCCCATTGAACTTGAGAGTAGGCAGTGATAGAGAACCACACAGTGGGGAAAAATGTGTAAAAATACTGACCTGTAGTATTTGTTTGTTTATTTATTGAGAGAGAAATTTTTGCTATAAGGCACATGAGCTTGTCAGAGAGACAGAAAGCAAGAAATCACCCCCCCAGGGGAGATGGCCATGCCACAATCCCTTCTCTTCCATTCTCCTCTCGGGATTTTGGGCACGCATGCACATGTGCCCAGCGTGAGTTTTAGCCACCAGGGACGCCAGCAATGTAACCACTATGCCATCTGCTGGTCCCATGACCTGTAATATTACTAGTAAAATGTGAACCAACATACATTCTGGACTTTGTGATAAATTGCTCACACTCTCATGGGAAGTAGAGAAAGGAAGAGTGGACTGGAGTTCCTTCTCTTTGGAACTGTAGAGCACCAAACATTCCCCTCTGCATTAGATACCAAATAAAGAATAAGCAACGTTACAGAAATTCACAGCAGAGAGGGATCACCTCAGGATGGGCTGATGAAGAAACTTTTTAAGGATTCATGATTTTAAAATGTTCAAATTATTCCACTCTATATTATCTCTGACAGAGAGCCAACTAGACACTGGTCATGGGAGCTTTATACTTAACTAGGAGCTGTAATTTGAAACACACACAATTCTAGTGGGCTGTGTAAACCTAGGTAGAAAACAGAGAAATGAACAGAAATGGCAGAGAAGCAGGCTGATGGCAGATTTGGACCAAGTCATTGATAGTTATGGTCACCAGGCTAACATGTTCAGACTTCATTCATTAGGCAGAAGCAGGCCATTGGAGATTGTTAGGGAAGTAACAATCCAAAATATGTTTTAGAAAGAATAATACAGTTGCTGTATGAAGGATGAACCCTGTGCAAATACTCTAACTACTGCGCATTGCTTTTCGTGTATTTTTGAGATATTCGAGTCAGCATTGTAGGCAGAGAGAACATACTGCAACTTGCTGTTCCTGAAGTGCTGTGACATCCATCGCATTGATAAAGAACTTATTTCTGCTGGATCCTTGATATGGCCTCAGTCTTAATGCAGTTCTTAATGTTCCTAATAGCCATGATCAATTGATGAAACTCCTTTGTCGGGTCTGGCACTGTGCAAAAGAACTGGATTTAGGGAGACAGTCAGGTGGCATGGTGGTTAGCTGGATTCCACCTAGCCAACTACACAGTTCAAGTCCTGCACCTGGTAGTTTGAAGGAGAAGCTGGGGGGGACCAGCAGTTGGAGTAATGGCTATGTCGCTGGACTCCCATGTAGTCGACCATAGTTCAAGTCCCAGACCCAGTGGCTTAAAATCACACCAGGAGCATGTGCGTGCGTGCCCAAGATCCTGAGAGGAGAATAGAAGGGATTGTGATGTGGGCATCACACCTGGGGGGTGATTTCTCCCTGTCTCTCTGCCTCTGTCTTTCTGGCGACTGCACGCACCCTATAGCAAAAACCTCTCTGAGACAAAAAAGAAAGAGAAGCTGGGTGCATGTGCACATGCCAGAATGGAGAAGGGATTGGGGCATGGCCATCTCCCTGAGGTGCTTTCTCACTTTTCCTCTTTCTCTCCAAGGGTATGTGCCCTGTAGGAAACTAAAATCAATTTATAAATTGGATTAGCTGTCAAACACTATCTCTGTTACCTACTTAGCTGTGTGACCTGACAAAGCACTTGTTTCCCTAAGCCTTGATTATAAAATGAGACTTTTCTCTTGTGAGTGTGCAAAATAATTAGCTTAATTAGTGCCTCCCCTGTAGTAACTATTTCATAAAGGAGTCTTCCTATCCTCTGTAGTCCTAAGATTAGTTCTGGTATCTGTACCAGTAACCTATAAGGACATTAAGTGAGCCTTAGAGTGCTTAAAATCTAACATAGGAATGCAGACCAGACTCTGGAATGACAGTTGGCTAAAGTAGGTTGTCAAATTGGCAACCCATCCTCAAAGACAGGGAGCAGAATATATGTGGATTTTTACGAATAAGGAACTACAGGGGCCCACTATGCACACTTCTTCATAGGGGTGTTAGAAACAGGGAAGGGGGTATTTCAGAAACGAGCACTCCACGTGTCCTATGCACGGATGCTGTAGTTGCCAGTGGCTGCCTCCCATCACACCGGGGTCCAAAGACCAAACAGACAAGAGCTTCTTCTCCCAGTAGTTCCCAGGGGGCACACTGAATAGGAATCTGCCATAGTAAATACTGTCTTTGGGGGTGGGGGGCAGCTGTTGGAGGAAACACCTGCTAAAAGGCCTTAAGGCTTATAGACAAAGGCATGTAAATTTGGTGATCTCAGTGGGTTGTGCTGGAATTTTAAAATTCAGAATTCCATGTACCTTCAGATGAGGTGAAGAGTGCTATCAGAGAAGTCATATTGACATTATTTCTGAAGTTATAGTTTGCTTAAAAGGTTCAAAGATAAGCAAATGAGAGGTTACCAACATCTAACTAAACTAGGTACCAAATTATGTGACAAATGCATATACAAATCATTTCTTAAGTCATATATGAGATGCATATTAATTTGAAAACTAATTATTGGTGATGTAATAATCATCTTTTATATCCCGCAGGCATTTAGAAGAAATGCACTCCCCATGAGCACCAGCTTCTGCATCTGCCTGGTCATATTTAAAGGAACAGAAGAAATGTTTGTAATTAATCCGCCCAGTAAATACCAACTCATAGCACTAGGCAGGTGCACATCTAGATAAAATTTCTTGCAGCTAATTTAAACTTTCTACACACACCCGAAGATAATCTCAATGTAAATAATACATTTCTTCTTGACTCTTTAACGTAAGCCAACATGTAAAGGAGGGTCCTGACTTATATTCCACACATGAGGTATGTTTTTATATACTTTTAGCATTTGTAGACAAACTTAATAAAGCATGTATGAAATGGTAACTTTGGTAGAGTTATATAAATTCCTGAAACTCAGACTAACTCTAATGGTGGGTGGAATAAGGTTTGTTTTCCAGTTTTTAAAAGTTCATTCATCTCTTCCATGAGTGAGACAGAGAAGAGATAGAGACCCCACCAGGTCCTGTGGCATGACCCACCCTCAAACTTAGCCAGCCTAGATGACGGACACACATGCAAACAGGGCCTTTCCCACATGGACCCAGTTGCATTACCACAGTGCCACCACCTGGCCTCCAGTTTTATCATTTAAAGCTCCAGCTGTTACTAAATTATAATTTTTTTAAAACATTCATCTCAGGGATGAGTTTTTATAATTATACTCTAGCTTTTCCTATACTTGCACAGAGAAAAAAATTAAGTTTTAAATTTTGACACCTTTTTTTATTTAAGAATTATTTTATTTATTTATTTTAGAGGGACGGGGGTGGGGGAGTGAGAAAGCAAGCTACCAGGTCCAGTCAGCCGTGTGGTAGTCCAGCGTCCTTAACCACCACACCATCTGCTGGCTCCAAAACTTGACACCTTTTATAAAATATTGGAATGTATTTTTCAGTATATTTAAATATGAAGGGTTTTTTAAGAATTATTTTTATTATTTTAACTTTATTTATTTACTTATTTATTTTAATTTGACCAGAGAGGGACAGAGAGAGAAAGGGAAAGTGAAAGAGCAAGTCAGAAGGTCTGGGACTCGAACCACAGTTGGCCATGTGGGAATCCAGCACCCTTAACCATCATGCCACCTGCTGGCCCCATGAATTTTTTTTTTTTAAGATTTTTATTTATTTATTTTAATTTGACGAAAGAGGGCAAGTGAGAAAACAAGCTGCCAGGTCCGGGACTCAACCACAGTCAGTCATGTGGGAGTGTCCAGCACCCTTAACCTGCTGGCCTCAGTTATTTTTAATTAAACCGCAGACTCTACTGAATTTAAAGACCTTTATTATAATCCCTTCTAACTTATTTTGAGGTATTAACTTAAATTTGTGGTTTTTCTGTGGTGGTGGTTTATTGATCTATCATCATGGGTTGTGATGTCACTCACAAAATAAAGGGGAGGGGAAGATCACAGAATATGTTAAGAGCTTGGGTAATTGTGGTGGCACAGTACTATAACAATTGGACCTACATGGGGAAGCCTTGAGTTCGTGTCCCAAAAGCACATGTGGCCCTGTGTACATGTCCATGTTCTAGGTCGGCTGAGACTAGAGTTTCAGTGTGGCAATAAGGACCTCGTTGGAGGTGTCTCTCTGCTTTGCTCATGGAGGAAATTAATAGACTTTTAAAAATATACATGTTGTATTTTGATAGTTTTTTTTTTTAATTCTATACTTTTCCTTGATCATCTTCACAAGGAAAAAAATGTTATTCTTGGTATTTGCCCTGTTTTCACAAAACAACCTTGTCATTTCAATGTATCATGAATAATACAGTATCAAAAAGAATATGAAAGTGAAATAAAATTCAACAAATTAAGGTTTAAAACATAGCTTCCACTTAGAAAAATTTAAAATTCACCTCTTTTTTCAAAGGAAAGTGTTCTGGGACCAGCAGATGGCATAATGGTTATGCTGCTGGACCTCCCACATAATTGACTGTGGTTTGAGTCCTGAACCTGGTGGCTTAAAACTCATGCCGGGCACATGTGCATGCATGCCCAAAATCCCAAGAGGAGGATGGAGGAGGGATTGGAACGTGGCCATCCCACTGGGGGACGATCTCTTGCTTTCTGGCTGTCTCTGTCTCTCTGGCAAGTGCACATACCCTACAAGAAAGAAAAAAAAAACAAAACTGTTCTTTTAAAAAACTATTACTATTCGCGGCCGGTAGGTGGCATGGTGATTGAGGTGCTGAACTCCCACATGGGTAACCATGGTTTGAGTCCTGGACCTGGCAACTTGCTTTCACACTTTCCCTCTCTCCCTGGTCAAATTAAAAAAATAATAATGATAAATAAAAAATAAATAATTATTTTTTAAAAACTATTACTATAAATGACACAATTTATTGAACTTAATTGCCTTCGTTAGTGATTTTCTTGATACTGTTTAAATAAATTTTTAAAGATAAATCTGTCTGTTAAATATTAAGAGTACTTTGTATACAGTCCTTATAATAGGATGTGACTACAAGTATGTTAAAAAGGGTTATTCAGGGGCTGGCACATGGCATGGTGGTTAAGGGTGCTAGACTCCCTCATGGCTGACCATGATTCAAGTCCCGGACCTGGCGGCTTGCTTTCTTACTTTCCTTCTCTCTCTTTCTCCTAAAATGAATGAATAAAGTTAAATTTTTAAAAAATTCGTTTTTAAAAAAAGGATTATTCTAGCATTGAAAATCTTACCATGTAAACCAGAACGTTTTATAAAGTAGCCTACATTAGTCAGGAAGTAAAGAGTTAAGAACTAGTTGGGTTTCCTTTGTAATCCAAGTTATGTAGGTATGTACTTAATGCTGTCAAACCAGTTACTGTATATCTGACCTCTTGATAGACTAAGCTTTTGCCTTTCAGAACAGCTGGGTCTGCTAAGAATCATTTCCCAGCTCTCTTCATTGTAGATCAGATGACTCTCACTTTATCACCCTTGGAGGCCACATGAAGGACAAAGCAGAAAGAGCCACACACAAAACTAATGTTTATATGGGGTGGGGCGGGGGAGGGGGTGCAGAGGGTGTGCTTGTCCTGATCTTCCAATGGACAAAAAGAAGAGAGACCAATTGAGACTTGAAATCATTGTTACTCCAACATTATTTAGTTATATCCTATCCATCTCTTACTCTTTCTATTGAACAGAGAGCCTCCTCTGGCTGCCCTGACTTTTGTAAATGTTTCAGTCACTTAGTTGTGGTTTATCATTTGGACAGAATGCTACATCGGGGATTTTTCTCTTCTCCCTAAGGCCTCAGGGGAAAATGACTTCTACATGCCTCATATATGATACATGAACGTACAACCTATTCTGTTCACTTTAGGAAGCAAACCTGTTTATTGGCAGTGGAGAGGGCTGCATTTCTCAGAAGCACCTCTTCTGCTTAATACTTGAAAATAACTTAAAAATGTTCATACTTGGTCAGGTATATTAGTGAAGAAAGTGCAAAATCATTCTCTTTAATATTTTTGCATAACCTAATTATAAGAAAATATCCCTATATACCAGAGGCTAGCTGGGAAATGTGCTTTGGAAGTGCCATTTCTGTGAACTTCATTCATCACTGTATATTTTCAGTACTTTGGAACTTAGTCCCTCAAAATTCAAAGTGTACTCTCAAATTGGTTTCTAATAGATATGAGAGATATTTGACTTATAATTGTGAGGCCATCAGATGGTGTGGAGGTTAAGGCACTGGATCCCACATGGCCAGCTGCATGGTTCTAGTTCCTGACCTGGCAGCTTGAAAATCATACTGGACACAGGTAAGTTGCATGTCCAAAGTCTCAAGAGAAGATTGGAGAAGGGATTACAGAATGGCCTTTCCCCTTGAGTGGTGATCTCTCACCTTCCTCCATTTCTCTCTGGCGATCACATACATCTCATAGCAAAAACTTAAAAAAAAAACCCAGTATAATGCAATGTGATCAGGTTAAATCATGAATTTTTTTTTTTTTTGAGATTTTTGCTATGGGGTGTGTGTGCTCACCAGACAGATAGAAACAGACAGAAAGTGATACATCACCCCCCCAAGGGGATGGCAATGCTGCAATCCTTTCTCCTCCATTTTTCTATCAGGATTTTGGGCACACACACACTTGTGCCCCTTGTGAGTTTCAAGCCACTGGGTCCGGGACTCAAACCGCAGTCGACTACATGGGAGTAACTGTTATGCCATCTGCTAGTCCTTTGAAATCTATTTTTATTAATAGATTTTGCCTATAAGATACCTTGAATATAGGTGCATTCTATTTTAATGTTTTTATAATACCTTTACTTTCAGATAATAAAGTCCCTCTGCTCCAATTATTTAGATGTTGTAACTTAGAACTTTATCACTGATTTAAATCAATATTCTGTGTTAAATGCAAGTGTACTATTTACAAAATATAAAGCTACACCAGCCAGCCAAGATGCTGACATTTGGGCACAGTGATTACAGATGGTGACCATGGACAGCGATGTTTTTTTCCGCAACGATTCAAGGCTGCTTTTCTGTGCTGACCTGCCCTTTGAGTCTTTATGCACATTTGCTTTAAGAAAAAAATACTTCTTGATATTTTGCTGTCTAAACCCTCTTCCTTTATCAGACTTACAAACACATACCTTCTTGCATCCGCCTGTGGCTGTCTATGTATTATAGAACCAGTTTTCTTTGTGCGTATGCGGTTTGATTTACAGTGCTTCAAAATAATACTACTTAACATGCTTTAATGGTTCTTACGGAATATATATTAATTTTAAAAGATCGATAATAAAATAATTGTTTTTATCACAGACACTATCTTCGTATGAGAAACTGCAACACAGATATAATACATTATTTTTACCAGCTGAATACTGGGGTAATGATGGGCTTCTGCTAATATAAGTGATGTAACAGTAACGGGACAAAGTTAACATGAAGATGAGGTAAATCAATGCTTATGGCAGTGGTAACTTGAACCATGCCATGAGAAAAAAAAAGTAGAATGACGCAATCCTTAGTAGGGCAGTTTAACTATCAGTAAGAATGATTCTGGAAGTTTAGAAATAGTAATCCTGAGTTGTCAAAGAACTTCACTCAGGCCAGCTGGTGACATGGTAGTTAAAGTGGTCAGATCCCCACATAGCTGACTGTGCAGTTCAAGTCCTGGAGCCAGCAGTTTCAGCTTGAAGGGGCACACTGGGCATATGTATGTGCATGCCCATAGTCCCAAAGGAGAAATAAAAGAGAAAGGATTATGATGTGACCATCCCCAAAGGGAGTACGGTCTTTCATCCTTTTACATTTTTTTGAGAGAGATTTTTACTATATGGCATATGCACTTGCCAGAGAGACAGAAAATGAGAAATCACCTGGGGGGGATGTGTGGCCATACCCCAACCCCCTCTTCTCAGTCTTCTCTTGAGATTTTGGCCACACACACACACACACATGTCCAGCACGAGTTAAAAGCTGCAGGTCCAGGACTCGAACCACATCAACCACTGTGGGAGTCAAGCACCTTAACCACTATACCACCTGCTAGTCCCTAAATTCATTTTTAAATTATATGCAAGTAAATTAGCATTCTTGGAAATAAATAAGAATACAATTTAATCTATTTTGTTAGAAAAATTCTTATTGTACATGTAATAGGTATGTTCAAACTTTGATCAAGTAGCTTAAATTACCATCTCAGTCATTAAAAAGATCATCACAAGTTTGAGACCAGCAGATGGCGTAATAGTTACATCGCTGGATTCCCACATGGCTGACTGCAGTTCAAGTCCCAGACCCAGAGTCTTAAAACTCAGACCAGGCATATATGCATGCATGCCCAAGATCCTGAGAGGAGAATGGAGGAAAAGGGATTGTAGTGTGGCCATCCTCCCTGGGGGTGGGGGTGGGGGGGTGATTTCTCGCTTTCTGTCTCTGTCTCTCCAGCGAGCGCACACACCTTATAGCAAAAATCTCTCCTAAAAAAATGAGATCATCACAAGTTTAATTTCCTGAAAAATTAAATACATGTATATGCATCCTAAAGTGCTTGACAAAAACTAAATATGAACACTAAAATCAGTGATTTCCTTTAAGAAGGAATTTTAATTTCTTAATTCTCTCATTATGTTTAGTATATAGTATAATAAAGAAAGTGGGCAAAAGTGTAGTATTTCCAAAATATTTTTTAACAACATAATTTATAGAGTATATTTTCCTGAATAAACTAAAAATGTTTTTATCAGGACTGGCAGGTGGCATAGTGGTTAAAGCGGCTGACTCCCACGTGGCTGACTGTAGTTTGAGTCCCAGACCTGGCTCTCACGTTCCCCTTCTGTCTCTCTCTGGTCAACTTTAAAAAATAAATAAATAAAATAATAATAAATTAAATTAAACAATTATTTTAAAAATATGTTTCTCAAGATTTTCTCACTTGAATAGCTATGCATATTAATAAAACCATCATATATTCTGGCCAAGGAATACTTACTAAAAAAGCCTCCATTAGTCTTTGGTCTCAATTTATATTTATTTTGTATATACACAATAACTTTTTGCCATTTCCTTTCCTATGATTTCATGATTCTCAAAATAATTTTAATTTATATATAGCAAAAAATTGACAATTAGCACTTCTCACATTGGAAATACAGCTAGTTTATTTTCTTTAGGTTTCTCCCATTTTTAGATTCCAACATGATTATAATGTTGAAGTATACCAAGAAGAACAGGAACTTCAAGCAGGATACAAAACACACCAATACAGAAAATAAGTCTGGTAATTTCTGAGGAGGATCCAGTGTGACAGTCACTATTGTCAGGAGGACCATAGTGATTACTGAGATAAGAAACTACAAAACAAAACAAAAAGTATTATTGAGTAATACAGAAAATAAAATTTAAATGTGCTGGCAACATTGATTTGTAGGGGCAAGCAGGTGGCATGGTGGTTAAGGCACTAGGCTCTGATATGGCTGATTGCAGTTTGAGTCCTGGGTCTGACTGCTCACTTTCTCACTTCCTTTCTCTTTCTCTGGTAAATTAAAAATAATAATTATAAATAAAATAATTCTTAAAAAATAAAATATTGATTTGTTGACTAAATGAAGAGAGTTGGGGAATCCAATCTTTTCTACCATTGGGTCCCAAATTTAGCTTCAAAGCAGTATCATCTGAGAGGTTTTATTTATTTATTTATTTATTTATTTACTTTTAAGAAAGTTTTGCTATAGGGCGCGTGCACTCGCTGGAGACAGAAAGTGAGAAATCATCCTCCCCGGGGGGCCGGTGCTGTGTGGCCATGCAGCAATCCTTTCTTCATTCTCTCAGGATTTGGGGCATACACATGTGCACTCACGCCTGATGTGAGTTTCAAACCAGTCAACTAGGTGGGAGTCCAGCAACATAACCATTATACCATTTGCTGGTCCCGCTGTGAAAGGTTTTAAAAATCTCGATGCCCAGGCTATACTCCAGACCAATTAAATCAGAATTTCTGAGGTAAGCTTAGCACTTTTTAAAGCTCTCTGTGGGATTCCCACGTGTAGCCAAGGCCCTGAACCCCCTCTCTTACACTTCATACCACCTAGGCACCAAAAAACGGTATCCCAAACATGTTCCTGCTAGTCATAGCTAAATTCATGGCATCCCCTGGGACCCAGCTTCAAAATGTAAGATTCTAAGCAAATCCTGAGAACCCATCTATGAAAAAATTTTCCAGGCCAGCCCTGGTGTGGTGGTTAAGGCAGCCGGATTCCACATGGCCAACTGTGCGGTTTAAATCCAGGACCCGGCAACTTGAGAAACATGGCAGCTGGATGTGTGTGCCCAAAATCCTGAAAAAAGGGAGAGATGGAGGAGAAGGGATTGCAGTGTGACCATTCCCCATAGAGAGGTTTGCTTGTTTTCTCTCTCCCCGTTTCTTTTTCTCTCTCTCGCTCTCTGTGCCTGGTGAGCACATGTACCTTCTGGCGAATGAGAAGTTACATTTCATATTCACTAAATGCTTCCATTGAGCTAATGCTGTACACAGTGGGGCATGTGAGAGAAAATGTCCTCTGGCCTCAAAGAGTTTGTCATTTAATTAGGAGAATGTTAACTAAAATCACAAGATCACATTTAATTAAAGGCCAAAATGAGTACTAAAACAATTACTTTTATTGGATGTGTAGGTAGCCAGTTTCTTCTCCAGACCAGTGTGCCATACATAGAAGAACTTTCTGCAATGACGGAAATATTCTACAAGTGAATACTCCAACAACTAACTACATGTGTCTACTGACCATCTGAAATGTGCCCACTGTGAGTGAAGAACTGAATTTTTCGTTGTATTTAGTCAGCCTAAGTTTCTACATGTGTCTACTGCCTACTACTCCAGAGTTTCACTCTAGACCATGAGGTCTTTCAAATAGGGACTGGCTGGGGTCGGCAGTTGGCATGGTGGTTAAAGGTGCTGGATTCCCACATGGCCGACTGTGTTTTAAGTCCTGGACCTGGCAGCTTGCTTTCTCGTTTTCCCTCTCTCTCTCTCTTTGATCAAATTGAAAAATAATAGGGGCCTGCAGGTGGTATGGTGGTTGAGGTGCTGGACTCCCACATGACTGACTGTGGTTCGAGTCCTGGACCCGATGGCTTACTTTCTCACTTTCCCTTTCTCTCCTTCTCTGTCTTTCTCTAGTCAAATTGAAAAATAATAATAATTAATTAATTAATAATAACAAGTGTAATTAATTAAATATTTCTTTTAAATAAATAAGTAAATAAATAAATAGGGACTAGCCAGATCTTACTCATTTTATCTCTAGCACAGTGCATGTGTCGACAAAAGCTGCATGAGTAAATACAGAAAGCACGCAGTGAAAACCAGAAGTACTTTCATGAAGGAGGTGGGACATAAATGGAACCCTAATGGATTTGTGTGTGTGTGTGTGTGTGTGTGTGTGTGTGTGATTTTTGCCATAGGGCACATGTACTCACTGGAGGGACAGACAGAAAACAAGAAATCATCCCTCTCTCTTCACTCTCCTCTCAGGATTTGGGGCACATAAGCACATATGCCCACCAGGACTTTCAAGCCGTAAGGCTTAGGACTTGAACCACGGTTGACCATGTGGGAGTCCAGCACCTTAAGCACTATGCCACCTGCTGGTTCCCGAACAGATAATATTAATGGCTACATTATGGCTGTATTGGTAAGACCTGAATAGGTCATTCCAGATAAAAGACTGGAAGAGAGTCAAAAAAGCTTCTAGCAGGCATAAACAAAGCCAGCAAGCAGCCAATGAGGAAATCGAAGCTGAGGAAATCCAAGGTGACCTTAGTAGGGAGTGAAAATTTCTCAAGTAAAATGATCCGAATAAAACTTTACTTTAAAAAATACGGGACTAGTTGAAATGTAATATTATGATCTTGACTCAGTGTTAAACAGACATTGAAATTTCTCTCATTTGAAATAAAACCTTTCTCTTCTTCCAGCTACTACCTCCTTTGTCTGCTCCTGTTTATACCAAAGTTTCCCCAGAGAGTAGCTTATCATGTGCCGTTGCCAGTTTTCTCGCTCATTACTGAGATCGCACCAACTGGACTTCCGTAGTACTAGCGTAAGGATACACATACTGTTCAATGGAAGAGAACTGAAGCCAGCCTGATACTATTTTAAAAAAATTATTGAGGGTAAGCCCCATTGCCTAGTGGTTAAGGGAGCTGGATCCCATGTGACTGACCATGGCTCAAATCCTAGCCCCTATAGCTTAAAAACATACCAGGTGCATATGCGTACATGCCCCAAATCCCAGTGGGATGGAGAAATGGAAGAGAAGAAACTGTGGCATGTACATACTCAGAATCCCAACAGGATAGAGAAATGGAGGAGGCGGTATTCTGTTACAGCAGCCCTAAAAGACTAATACGTTCCATTTACATGAAACGTCCAGAAGAGGCAAGGCTACAGAGACAGAAAGTAGGTCGGTGGCTGTCCAAGGCTGGGGGGCGGCAGGGAGAGTGGAGCAGGAAATAACCGACTGCTAAGAACTCAGGATTTCTTTTCAAGGTGATGAAGATGATTTAAAATTAGACTTTGGTAATAGCTGTACAAATCTGTGTACATACTTAAAACCACTAAATTGTACAATATCTGTGGATGGATTTATATCTATAAAGGATGTGAATTATATCTATAAAGGAAAAGCTATTCAATCTCCCCCCATCACCAGACACATGCACTCACCAGAGAGAGTGAGAAAGAAGGAAAGCATTCCTGAATAGAGCATACTCATGCCACAGTTTCTTCTCTTCCATTTCTCCATCCCACTGGGATTTGGGGCATGTACACATATGCACCTGGTATGTTTTTAAGCTACAGGGGCCAGGATTTGAACCACAATCATGGGATCCAGCTCCCTTAACCACTAGGCAATGGGGCTTACCCTCAATAATTTTTTTTTATAAATAGTAGTATCAGGCTGGCCCATGAAATGGGAATTAAAGTTGCTGGATCCAATATGGCCAGCTTTGCAGTTTGAGTTCTGGACCCAGCAACTTGAAACACACATCAGATGAATGTGTGTGATGCCCAAAATCCTGAAGAGGATGGAGAGATGAAGAAGGGACTGTGGTATGACCATTCGCCATGGGGGGGGGGGGGTGCTTTCTCACTTTCCCTTTTTCTCTCTCCAGAAAGTATACACAGACTCTGGAAAAATTTGTAAGTAAGGAAGAAAGTAAATAAATAAGTAGATAAATAAATAAGTAGTGGTATATTGAAAAAAATATACCATTCCTTAAAAACTGAACATCTGGGGCTGGCAGGTGGCACAGTAGTTAAGGGCGCTGGACTCCCACATGGCCCACCACAGCTCGAGTCCCAGACCTGATGGCTTGCTTTCTCACTTTCCCTTTCCCTTTCTCTCTCTTTCTCTCTCTTTCTTTCACTGTGTCCCTTTCTGGTCAAATTAAAATAAGTAAATAAATAAAATTAAAAGTTAAATAAAATAATTCTTAAAAAAAATGAACTTACCAAATATTGTATAATTCTGGGAAGAAATGTAAAACATGGAAGATATTTCCTAACAGTAATGGAAAAGGATTTCAACAGCAGTTTTTCTTCAGAATTCTTTTCAAATATTGAAAATAAAGTTGCACAAGCTATAAAAAATGCCATTGCTGTCACAACCAAGGGCATTAGGAGTTCATCCTTCAATAGAAGAGGTAGCATACTACAAAGGAAAACAGAAAAAGAGCAAAATAAAATAATCAATTCAATCAGAATCATTTATTAAAGTTTTAAATCAGTTTATGAGAATCACACTGAAAATATTATATGGAAATTAGCTTGACTCACCTAAATGTTGACACAAGTAAAAACCAAGTAGACATAAAAGGAATTTCATTTAAAACTAAGCAGACTGGTCTAAAATGTAAAGAAAAAATATTTTAATATTACAGAATATAATTTTGAGTTCTACTTGTAAAAATACAAACACATTGGGACCAGCAGATGGCACAATGGTTACGTCACTAGACTCCCACATGGTCGACTGTGGTTCAAGTCCCAGACCTGGTGGCTTAAAACTCACATCAGCCCAGGGCCAGCAGTTGGCATGGTGGTTAAGGGAGCTGGACTCCCACATGGCTGACTGTGGTTTGAGTCCTGGACCTGGTGGCTTGCTTTCTCACTCCCCTCCTCCATCTCTTTGTCTCACACTCTGTTCCTTGAAAGAAAGAAGGAAGGAAGTTAAATAAAATAATCAAAAAAAAAAACCTGCTGGGTTCATGTGTGTGCATACCCAAAATCCCAAGAGGAGAGTGGAGGAGAAGGAACCATCCCCGCTGGAGGATGATTTCTCACTTTCTTTCTCTCTGTCTTTCCAGCAAGCACATGTGCCCTATAACAACAACAACAACAACAAAAAAAAAACTTATCTTTCTGATTTTCAGGGGTAGCTAATTTTTTTTTAAAGCCAGGAAGGCCTTCATATGGACTGATGCTTTTATCAATAGCAGTCTAAATTAAATAAGCCTATACACAGAGAAGATGCCAACTATTTATAATAACTGGAAGTGTCTAACCAGATAGAGTGGAGGTTAGGGTGACTGGATCCTACATGGCCTATTGCACAGTTCCAGACCCAGACCTGGTGGCTTGAAAAATATCCTAGGTTCATGTGCATGTGTGTCCCAAACCCCAAAAGGAGAATAATGGAGAAGAAGGGATTGCAACATGACCATCCCTCCTCATTTTCACTATCTCTCTGTCTCCTGGTAAGCACACATGCCCTATATCAAAAAAAAAAAAAAAAAAAAAAAAGAAAGAAAAGAAAAGAAAGGAAGAAAAAGTGAAGAAGATAAAGATGGCAACCACGCTCCAACATAAATAAACTTTTTCGGAGAAGACTTTATTTTCAAAGCATATAGAAAATAGAGATGAAGAAACAGAAGCATATCAATAATCTACCACTGTTTTTAATTTAAAATATTACATTTTGGGCCAGCAGGTGGTATGGAGGTTAAGGCACTGAATAATACATGGCTGGCTGTGTGATTTGAGTCCTAGACCCATTAGCTTGAAATTCACGCCAAGTACATATACATACATGCCCCAAATCCCAAGAGGAGAACAAAATAGGGATTGTAGCATGACCATTATCCAAGGGGTGGGAGGTGATTTCTCACTTTCCCTCTCTCTCTGTCTGTCTCTCTGGAAAGCGTACATGCCCTATAGCAAAAACTAAGTAAATAAATAAAATGAAACATTTTATGAAAAGTAAAATAGTAAGAGAATATCATTTTTTAAAAATAACTATGAAATAATTTTATGCAAGTATAATATTCATATAGTACTGGCTTTTTTTTTTCTTTTTTGGAGAAGTTTTGGCTATAGAGCACGTGCGCTCACCAGAAAGAGAGAGAGAGACAGAGAGACAGAAAACAAGAAATCATCCCCCAGGGGGGATGGCCACGCTCCAATTCCCTTCTGCTCCATTTCCCTCTTGGAATCATGGGCACGCACACACACGCACCTGGTGTGAGTTTAAGCCGCCAGGTCTGGGACTTGAACTGCAGTCGACTAAATGGGAGTCCAGTGACGTAGCCATTATGCTAACTGCTGGTCCCAGTATTGTTTTATATGTAAATGAATATGTGCATATAAACTTTAAATGTGTATATTTTAAACACATATTAATAAAAGCATACTTCAAACATTTCTACTTACAATGATACCAAGAGAATGGACTTTTCATGTACTTGGAAAGAAAATAAAAAGAATGATAGTGCACAGGTAACCTTAAAGAAAAAAGGGGGGAAATAAGATATAATTTGCGTAATATAGTATCATTTTGATTACGTACATAACTAAGTCATTTTTATATTAAATTAAAGTTTATTAGAGCTTCTATCTAGAAATAAAATCTAAACCCAACACTAATATGCATAACATTTTAATTGAATTTAAAAATCAAAATTTGTTTTAGGAAACAATGACTATAAGTTATACTTGACCATCAAAAACCAGTTCTTGAGAAACATTAATTACTAAATAATCACCATTACTAAATAATCATTAGATTGTTCCTTAGGGCAGAAACCCATTTAGCATGTGGAGGGCATAAAGGGACAGCTGTGAAATAGTTGGTGTGAAAAAGAAGGAGAGAAGAATAAAAATTAGTATAAGTTTTTAATTTTTTTTAAGTTGATTTATTTCATTTGCGGGAGACAGTCTTGCCACGATCTTCCCCCAGCGTCCCAGCCAGCCAGGATCACCGGCAGGAGCAGGCACACCCAACCTGTTCAGGTCAACCTACTGTAGAACCCAAACCTGAGCCTCCCATGTGGCTCCCGTACCACGTGGCGGTGCCCTGCTGCTTGCACCACCATGGCTGGGCTGAGCTTTTTATTTGTTTTTTTGTTTTGTTTTGTTTTGTTTTTACTATAATGTCTTATATTGCAACATAGCAAACAGAATAGCATTAGAAAATTAAAAGAAAGAAAATGTTTTTTCTGGCTTACAGTTCTGAAAGTAATTATCCCTAACATTATTACAGTGATTCATACTGTGAATTTCTATTCTATTATCTTTGAAATATACCTTTATTTAGCATGTTATTTCCTAGAAAAATAACATCATCTTTCAGAAGCTTGAAAATATTTCAAGCTAGGCCTGTTAAAAACATTAGAGTATTATTAACCATACCCATCCTGCTTTAAATGTTCTACAAAACAGTAATAGTAGATGACTTAGCATACTCAGAGTTCATTTACAGAATGAAACAGCAGACATCATCAATAAAAAGGTAATGAAAGAGAAAAGAGAAATATAAAACTAACCTTTTCATATTGTGGTACTGAGATTTCCTTGCAGTTATTTTACTGTTCTGTGCTGCCTTGTTTTTAAAATACAATGTACAGCCTCAGAAATTGGAACCCTAATTTCTAAAATCCTGTCCTCTTATAAAACTATAAGGACTTTTACTATTTTCATAAACTAAATGTTTCTGATATTTTAAAAGATTTATTTTTTTTTTGGAGAGGTTTTCACTATAGGGCATGTGCGCTCACTAGACAGACAGAGAGAGACATAGAGACAGAAATGGAGAAATCACCCCCCAGGGAGAATGGTCACGCCGCAATCCCTTCTCCTCCATTCTCCTCTCGGGATCTTGGGCACGCACGTACACGCGCCCAGCGTGAGTTTTAAGCCACCGGGTCCGGGACGCGAACCGCGGTCGACTACATGGGAGTCCAGCGACATAGCCATTACGCTAACTGCCAGTTCCCTTTAAAAGGTATTTTTTAAATGTCATTTTATAGACCAATGCACACAGGAACAAAATGTCTAATACCACAGAGATACAACTAGGTGAATCTTATGTACCTCTGAGAAAAACCCCCATGCTATGGGAAATAGACCCACCCATCTTCAAACTGACACAAGTCATTTTCCCCTAACAGAGCTCTGCCTCCTCCCTTCCTGGAATGTCTTAATTTTTCCGACACACAAATTAAACTACAAAACCTTATCAATATCTGCTTGGTCCTTCTGGACCTTTTTTTCTCACCATATCCTCTCCTGCCTTCAACATAACACACATAAAACTAACACCAACTTTAATAGTTATTCCCAGAACATTCCCTGTCCTTTCCCCCCTCTGTAACTACAAGGTCTTCCTCTTGAATTTCTCTCCTGCTGTCTAACCTGCTGCTCCAAACCTTGCCCAGCTTTCAAAATCTGGTTCAACTCCCACTTGCCCTAAACAGCTGTCTAAAATCTCTCCCCACACTATCCTAGGATTTCATTTATACCTGAAAGAAACTGACAATCTGCTTTATAGCATAGTAATGTAACCGTATGTTTTTTGCCACTATTTTCTTCTTTGTATCTCCTCATTAACTAAGACAAAACAGAAAGTAAATAGTTGCTAAATTAAACTGATTGTGGGGCCAGCAAGTGGCAGGTGGTTAAAGTGCTGGATTCCCACATGAATGACTGTGGTTAGAGTCCTGAACCTGATGGCTTGCTTTTTTCTCCTCTATCTCGCTTGCTCTCTATCTCTCTGGTAACTATGCGTGCCAAGTAGCAAATTTTAAAATAACAATAATAATGAAAAAAATTAACTATTTAAAATAAATAAATAAACTGAGTATGACTGCTCAGCCGAGTGCCATTGTAGCATCTAAGTATGGAAGACACTCAATTAATGTTTGCCAAATAAAAGAATGTCTTATTTTCCAATTCCATAAATCCTGTTCAGACCAAGGAAATAATTATCTGTATTTTAAAAGATCAGTTGTAGCAAGAATGATCTAAACGAGTGAGAAACTTACCAGAGTAAATTTGAATGTTTTGGGAGAAGGCTGAAGTATCAATTTTATACATGCAGGGAGCAGGCTCAAAAATGTACAACAGAAGCTAAAAAATAAAAATAAAATGTTTGTTTTTTAGAGGTGTAAAGCTAGCTGAAACAAATATTTTTTAAAAATAAAGATCACATTATTAACTTCCGTTGATTTCAAGTTAAAGTTAACTTTTATTTCATTAAAATTAAGACCAAATAACATTAAAATAAAAGCTTTACATCAAAATGTGTACACGACTTTACATATGATTATATGACATAATGTAGCACAAAACAGTATAACACTAAATACCACTCACATTATTTTAGCACTTTTTATCACATAGAGAAAAGATACAAGGGTACAGAGTTGAAGGTCAAATGATCAAATGCTCAAAATAAGAAAACATAACCAGGTAAAAGAGAGAATGTTATACTTGTAACACAAACATTCATAAAGTCTATTCACATAGAGACTTTCTGGCCCTCCTGTCACAAAAGCTGATTATCTGATTTTAAAGCCCATGGTAAACCAATTTGGAAAGGGAGCAGAAAGCTACTAGAGCTTCTCATGATGGCTGATAAGCGAGGAGGAAAAACAACTAGAAAAAGACTCAACAAGCAAAGTAGTCTGGGGCTATTTAGTACCCTGACAAAAGCCTTGAAAGCTCTGAAAATAAGTATATAACCTAATTGATTTTCACATGTAGGGTTGCTTTGTGACTTGTCAACTTGGCGAGGCCGGACTGAAATCCCCAGAATGCTCTTCCGCATGCTTCCTGTTACAGTGGGCTACAAGAGGTATCTTATAGAGCCGGAGGACAGAGGGAGGCAGCACCCTTCTCGCAGTAATTCAAACACTGGCATCACTAACCTAAGGCACTGCTGTGAGAGATTTTGCAGATCTATTGAGTTAATTTTAGGTTAATCAGAAGGGAGAGTGTATTGGGAGGCCCAACTTAATCAATTGGAAGTTCTTAAAAAGAGGGCTTAGGGGGATAAGCAGGTGACATATGGTTACGTCGCTGGACCCCCATGTGACTGACCATGGTTCAAATCCTGGACCTGGCAAGTACATGTGCGTGCGAGCGTGCCCAAGATCCCAAGAAGAGAATGGAGAAGGGACTGCAGTGTGGCCATCCCTCCTGAGGGGTGATTTCTCATTGTCTCTCTGTCTCTAGCAAATTCTCTCTTAGAAAAAAAAAAAAAGAGTACTTACTCCTTTCCTAACAGCAGCTAAGACTGAATCACTCTTCTTTTCCCCAGATATTCCTTCCTGGATGCCCGCCTACATTGTGGACCTCTGGAATACTGAGCCTATCCCCATTACTTATTATAAGCCTATTCCTTATAATAAATTTGTGTACACAAACACACACACACACACACACACACACACAGTGATCTCCTGCTCATTCTACCTTTTGGGTTGAACCCTGAGTGATACACTACTGAAAATCATGACTCTTCAAGATAATGTTAAAGTCATGTTTATTATCACCTCCGTTTAAGGGGATAATTAGATAATAATTCAAAAAGACAGTCACATAAAATAATTCAAACAAAACAGTTTCACTGCCTAGAAGGATAAGTTTAAGTTATATGGAAAATTCACTAATGAAGAGTACTTCATTATCTAATGATGCCAGATAATTTAAGTATTGCTGAAACTTTTGTGAACTTTTTTTTTTTTTTGGAGAGATTTTCTCTGTAGGGCGCGTGCGCTCGCCAGACAGACAGAGAGAGACATAGAGACAGAAAGCGAGAAATCACCCCCCAGGGGGGATGGTCACGCCGCAATCCCTTCTCCTCCATTCTCCTCTCGGGATCTTGGGCACGCACGCACACACGCCCGGCGTGAGTTTTAAGCCACCGGGTCCGGGACACGAACCGCGGTCGACTACGTGGGAGTCCAGCGACATAGCCATTACACTAACTGCTGGTTCCCAGGTATTGCTGAAACTTTTAAAGAGTAGCTTATAAAACACTATATACAAACTTCTCTTACCTGATCATTATCTGGGTCTGATGTGGTAAAATATCCTTAATCTTCAGAAAGACATTAAGGCTACACCAAATATTGGCCACTTTATCCTTAAAAGAGATTTGTCAGTATTATATTCTGGTATAAAAAAAAAATGAATACAGTTTTGCTATAGAGCACATGCATTTGCCAGAGACAGAGAGACAAAGAGACAGAGAGAAAAAGAGAGAAATCACCAGCTAGGGGAGATGACCATGCTGCAGTCCCTTCTCCTCCAGACTCTACTCAGGGTTTTGGGCACGCACACACACACGCCTGCTATGTTTTTTTAAGCCGCTGGGTACAGGATGCCAACTGCATATTCAGCCACGTGAGATCCAGTCACGTTAACCACCATGCCACCCACCGGCCCCATTCTAGTATAACTGAATGAAATATTAAATCCACAAGTGCAGCCCAAAGTCTAAGCAAATAAACTTCTGAGATCTGTGAAATTTTATTCACAATTACAACAAAGTAGAGTAAATAAAAAGAATAAGGAATAAAAACACATGCACATGGTCAAGCATTTTTCATTTTTTTATGTGACAGAAACTCAGCTATTAATTAACCACAACCTAGACATTGCTGAGAAATACTTAATATTTTTCAATCACAGTACACTATCTCATCTTGGGAAGTTTATCTGAGACATCTTTTTTCCCTAACAGGTAGAATTCGTGTTACATTTGACCCATCTTTTTTTTTTTTTTTTTTTTGGAGAGGTTTTTGCTATAGGGCACGTGCACTCACCAGAAAGAGAGAGAGAGAGAGAGAGACAGAGAGACAGAAAGTGAGAAATCATTCCCCCCACCTAGGGTGGATGGCCACAGCGCAATCCCTTCTCCTCCATTCTCCTCTCGGGATCTTGGGCATGCACGCACACACGCCTAGCGTGAGTTTAAGTAACCAGGTCCGGGTCTTGAACCATGGTCGATTACATGGGAGTCCAGCGACAGCCATTACGCCAACTGCCGGTGCCACATTTGACACATCTTATTCCACATCTGAGTTTATTTAGTTACTAGCAATGGCAAGAGCTAATTGCTAATAAATCAAGAAGTTTAAAGACACTGGCAATTGTGCTAGGATCACTTTCAAAATTGAAGTGTACGGATAGCGCTCGTGTTTATGAAACCCACCCTCTCAACAGCTGCGGGACTCATGGCTGTGTGGGCGTAGGACCAAGAAAGGAACTATCACGACAGCTCTACCATCCCACTCTCCTCTGTCAAATCAAAGAAGATCCAACACCATACATGGCTGGTACTCATCTTTATAATTACCATGATAAATACCATTTGTGAAATGGAAGGTAAAAAAATTACCAGTCATCTTTTTTAGAGAATGAAATTTTACTTTCTACAGTTGTTAGAGATCATATAATGAAGACATTAGGAGCATAATTTTCAAAGTTCAAACTGCAGCTCTGCCAGGTACTACTAGGATGAATTTCGGACCTCAGTTTTCTTCACTGTAAAGTGGGGATAACAGCTGCCCCAGAACTACTGTAAGGATCAGATAAAATTACATGGAACTGTCTGCCACCTAGAAAGTAAGCAGTGCTGGGGCCAGCAGTTGGCATAATGGCTATGTTGCTGGACTCCCATGTAGTCAAACACAGTTCAAGTCCCAGATCCAGTGGCTTAAACTCACACCGGGCTGTGTGTATGCATGCCCAAGATCCCGAGAGGAGAATGGAGAAGGGATTGCAGCGTGGCCATCCCTTCTGGGGGGTGATTTCTCGCTTTCTGTCTCTCTGTCTCTATCTTTCTAGCTAGCGCATGCGCCCTATAGCAAAAAAAAAAAAAAAAAAAAAGAAAGTAACAATAGTGATTATTTACTATTATCAGTATCATTACTTTCTTCCCCCCAACCCCCCATCGTGCCCAACGACACACAGTCACACAATCTTTTTTTGGAGAGGTTTTTACTATAGGGTGCATGCACTAGCCAGAAAGACAGAGAGAGACAGAGAGACAGCGAGAAATCACCCCCCAGGGGGAATGGCCACACCGCAAACTTCCATTCTCCTCTCAGGATCTTGGGCATGCACGCACACATGCCCAGTTTGAGTTTAAGCCACCAGGTCCAGGACTTGAACCGTGGTAGACTAAATGGGAGTCCAGCGACATTGCCATTATGCTAACTGCTGGTCCCATCAATCACACAATCTTACTCCTTCAAAACCCCAAACTCTTTTCTTGGTCTCTCAAAATGCTGGCTCCCTCAGCCTATAGATCTATTGAAAGATATTCTATAGAGATTTATATATTTAGAAATTGGGAAGATAGATAGATAGATAGATATAAAGTGCTTTTTAAATTCTTTTTAAAAGAAATGTTATTCAAAAGCAAATTATCTATAAATATGTTGTCTCTGTCTAACTTTATTAAAAGCCCTTTTTGTTTCAGAAAAATGGTTTGTTTAATTTAATTACTAAGTCTAAATGATCAAATTATTCATGTAATAAAAGTTTAACAAGAGTGATTATACTAGCATGACATGAAATGAAATGAAATTCTCATTAAAAATTACTATGGATGAAGGTTATATATCTCATAAGGAATTACAAGACTTTTCTGAAGCAAATATGATTATTAGTTTAACAAATAATTTCCTAAGATTAAAAAGATAATATAAGCCAAAAATTTAGAGTGTTGTTAACTCTGTAGCTGCAACTTCTTATACTGCCTTTCATTATGGACCCTATCTCATTAGAAAAATGTTTAATTGGGGCCAGCAGGTGGTATGCCATTAGCGCACTGGAGTCCCACACGGCCAGCCAAGGTTCAAGCCCCAGACCTGGTGACTAGCTTTCTCACGTTCTCAATCTCTCTCTCTCTCTTTCTTCCCCCCTCTCTGGTGAATACACATGCCCTACAGCAAATTAAATAATAATACAAATTAAATAAATAATTCTGAAACATGTATGACTGAATTATGAATCTGATAGCGGTATCAATGTTACCTGTTGACGTGCTAGACAATGTCAGCTGCGCTAGGGGTGATAAACTGGATTAAATAACCTGGCAAGGGATTACTGCAGGAAGAAAGCAGCTCAAGTTCTGATTTTCTGCGTCTTCTACATGAAATCCCTAAAGGTCACAGGGAAGGTACATTTGAGAAGGAAGTTTTCAAACATGCCTCAAATAATCCACGATCAACTGGAAAGAGTCTTCTTAGGACCTGCAGGGTCTGTTCTCTTTCTGTCAAGAATGGCAGCCAGCAAAGGATGAAGGAAGTCAGGACGGTACCAGCCAGCTTAACAAACAACACAGACCTAGAACGAGAACAAAGGTAAGTGGTAAGACAGAGAAAAGTCATCATTCTGAAAAAGCAAACCTGTGTCTCACGGAATGTAACAAATGCAAATGTACAGTAATGCTAACTATATGCTACCAATATAGATTTAAGATAGGAGCCTGCCCAAGTCAGAGTTCAAAAACACACAACTGACTAGATGTGCACTTCTCCAACAAAAAGCCTGCTGTCACCATCCTCATTAACATTTAACTCAGATGCACCTATGGAAGTAAGGGAATGCAGCCATGGAGGAAAATACTGAATGGAGATGTATTCCCATTACCTCCAGTAAACGAACATCGATCAAAATACCTTCTACTTAGAAAGATTTAAAACAAAAGGATACAGAATAATACTTATTCTTTCTCCCCACTCACCCCATGGTCATCCCATTTATAAGAAATCACCAAAAGGCAAAATGAAAGATTACTTCCTCCAAGTAAACATGCCCAAAAAACGGGTGGAAGTAAATCTTTTAATTCTGGTGTTTAAAAGTCACTCACCCCTTTCCTTTGAGGCCTTTTTTAAAACACTTGCCAAGTAAAAAGCAAAAAAATGGCAAGGAGTGATAAAGTTCCATCTGTTTATAGTTTATTGCTAAGCAAAATGCCAGTGAACCTAGCAGGTCCCAGTCACAAGATACTCCAAGAACACCCCACAAAGCAAAGCCAAGACTCACAGAATTATATATATCCTTGTGTCAAGGAAATTATCTCTTAACTCAAATAGATCTTGCATTTATAGAGCATACTTTTATGTGATTTTAAAATAACATATACATTGAACACTATTTCCAAATAGAAATTTAAACTACTAAAGTGATAAATATGAAATTACATATAATAATCTCAACTATATTACTTGTACTGCTAAACAGTTAAGTGATTTGTTTAGATTTAAAAGGGCTCTAAGTAGGGGACCAGCAAATGTTGTGGTGGTTAAGGTGCTGGACAGTCCACATGGCTGAAGACGGTTCAAGTCCTGGACCTGGTAGCTTGCTTTCTCACTTTCTCTCTCTCTGTTCAAACTGAAAATTAAATTAAATTAATTATTTTTAAAAATAGTTAAAACATAGTGCTATGTCTGTTCTACTTCTCAATATTACTATGACATACCAAAATCTGTAGAATAACACTCCATCAGTTAAGTTAAAGTATTAATAAAACTTACTGAGATCACCATATTTCCTCTATAATATGTATCAATAGCATAATAATTCATGTGCTTAGTAACATTATTAATTAAAACAATATCATAATTAGATTTTTGGCTCAAAATGATGAGCTGGGCACCTGTATTTACCTCCTTCCTTCCCAAGACCCCTTAAAATGATAAGAGAAGGAATTTTTTTTTTTTGAAAGAATTATTTTAGGGGTCAGCAGGTGGCATCATGGTTGAGGCAGCTGGACTCCCACATGGCTGGCTGCAGTTTGAGTCCTGGACCTGGCAGCTTGCTTTCTCACATTCCTTCTTTCTCTCTGTCTCTCTCTGGTCAACTTTAAAATAATAAAATACTACTACTACTACTAATAATAATAATAATGAAAATAAATTTTAAAATTATTTTATAATGTTTTAATTATAAAAAATAAATTATTTTATTCAATTTTATTTATTTAAGTTTGGCCAGAGAGGGACAGAGTGAGAGAGAGTGAGAGAGAGTGAGAGAGAAGGAAAGTGAAAAAAGCAAGCCACCAAGTCCAGAACTGAAACCATGGTCAGATATGTGGGAGTCTAGTGCCCTTAACCACTGTACCACCTGCTGGCCCCAAGAATTTAAAAACGTACAAATTTGGAGCCAGCAGGTAGCATGGTAGTAGTTAAGGCACTGAATTTCCCACATGGTCAACTGTGGTTTGAGTCCCAGACCTGGTGGCTTGAAAAATCACAATATTAAATTTTTTAAAAGATAAATAAATAAATATCTTAAAAAAAAAAACAAAAACAGTATAAATTTGGGACAGCAGATGGTATAGTGGCTGAGATAGTGGATTTCATATGGTCAACTCTGCAGTTCAAGTCTTGGATACAGAGGCTTGAAAAACCCTTCAGACACATGTGTGTCCATGCAAAAATCCTAAGAGGAGAAGAGAGAAGAGATTGTGGCACGACCATCCCCTCCATGGGGTGATTTCTCACTTTCTCACTTGGTTTCTCTGTCTCTGGCAACACACACACCTAAGGCAAAAACTTAAAAAAAAAAAAATCAAGTAAACAACATTTTTTATTATACCATTATTCTTAATATTATTATAATTTGATAGCCATAATTCCACAAACAATATCCCCCCAAAATAAATAAACAACTAAATAAGGAGGTGGGTAGAATAAAAAAAAAATATGATGAAAACAACTACAGATTTGAATATCTTTTGCAAGTCCTTTGGCAGACATATTAATTATGAAAAACAGACTGGCATCAAGAGAAAAAGCTCTTAGCCAAGCAATCATATGTTAATACATCCTTTTTTTTTCACTCTCAAGAGAGATGACGACAGAGAGTAACATTCAGTATATTAGAAGACAAATTGTATATACACGTACATATCTTTTATCGACTTACACTCTAAGATCTGTTTGTTGAATGTTCCTTATCAAAAAATACATACAATAAAAGTCATACAGATTTTAATATTTTTAATTATTTAATTCTATTTATCCATTCACTTATTTTAATTTGACCAGAGAAAGATAGACACACAGAAAGAAGGAAAGTGAGAAAGTAATCCACCAGGTCTGGAACTTGAACCATGGTCAACCATGTGGGAGTGTCCAGTGCTTTAACCACCATGCCACCTGCTGGCCCTACAGATTTTAATTTTTCAGTTTTAGTTTCCTGACACCTCTAGCTACCTGTATGTTAGAGAATTTTTTTTTTTTTAATTTGTCATAGGGCACATGCACTTACTGGAGAGAGAGAGGGAGGGGGGAGAAAGTAAGAAAGCACCTCCCAGGAAGGATGGCCACACCATAATTCATTCTCCTCTCAGGATCCTGGGCATGCATGCACACGCACCCAGTATATTTCTCAAGCTGCCAGGTCTGGGAATCAAACCATACAGTCAGCCATATGGGATCCAGCTGCCTTAACCACCATGTCACCTGACTAGCCCTAGAAACATTTTATTTTAAAACTCAAAAAACTTGGGACCAGCAGATAGTGTAATGGTTATGTCACTGGACTCCCACATGGCTAACTGCGGTTTGAGTCCTGGAACCAGTGGCTTCAAACTCATGCCGGGCAAGTGTGCGTCGGTGCCCAAAATACCAAGAGGAGAATGGACAAGAAGGGATTGCAGCACGCCCATCCCATTGGGGGGGTGATTTCTCACTTTCTATTTCTCTCTGTATCTTGGGTGAGAGCACGCACCCTATAGCAAAAATCTCTAAGAAAAAAAAAAGTGGGTCTTGCAAGTGGCATTGTGGTTAAGGCTGTGGACTTCCACGTGACTGACCACAGTTCTAGTCTCGGATCTAGCGGCTTGCTTTCTCACTTTCCTTCTCTCTATCTCTTATTGAATTAAATAAATAAATATGTTTAAATAAAATAATTCTTTAAAATAATAACTCACAAAACTATTAAAATTATTTTCCTTTTTTTCATCCTTCACGTAAAAGTTAGGTGACAAAATTATTTCATCTCATTGTGAAAATAGTTTATATAAGTACCCCAACAAATATGATATTACAGGATGACAACATTATACAAATCAAGCCTAGATTTCATATTATGCAGGTGACTTCATTTCTAAATTAGAAAGGATACTGAAAATGTCCATAGTCGATAAGAATAAGGCCTGGATACAACAATATGCATAATGCATTAGCAATCTGTAAAGAAAAATATTATGAAATGAGAAAGTAGATCTTGTATTCAAATCAAACAAGGCAAAGGTGTGATTTTTATTTAACACAGTAGCAAATGTTTCCCTTTTCCTGCGGTATACCTTCTTTTTATCAAAATATTCCTTTTTTTAAGAATTATTTTATTTAATTTTATTTATCTTTTATTTATTTATTTTAATTTGACCAGAGAAGGACAGAGAGAAAGGGAAAGTGAGAAAGCAAGACAGCCAGGTCCAGGACTCGAACTGTGGCTGGCCATATGAGCGTCCAATACCCTCAACCATGATGCCACCTGCTGGCCCAAAATATTCCATTTTTATAAAATAATTCTTTAGAGTGCCCAGCAAGTGATGTGGGGGTTAAGGCGCTGGACACTCCCACATGGCCAACCATGGCTCAAGTCTTGGACCTCTGGCTTGCAGCTTGCTTTCTCACTTTCCCTCTCTCTCTGTCTCTCTCTGGTGAAATTAAGCTAAATTAATGAATAAATAAAATTAAATAAATAGTTCTTTAAAAAATAAAATAATTCTTTAGATGCTGAAGTTCCACGAAGGTGACATAAGACATTTCAATAAAAAGGAAATATTGGGGCTAGATGGTAGAGGAGCAATAAAATGTGATGCTGTGTGAGACTGACCCCGCAGGGAAGGTTCCAGGTTCATATTTAGAGACCCCCTTGAATGTGCTGGCATGTGTGTGCCCATGATCCACGGCTGGCAGCATCAAGACTGCGATGCGGGTGCTATCTCTCTGTCTCTGTCTCCCTTTCCCTGTCTCTATCTCTCCTACTCTTAGAGGAAATAATTAAAAAAAAATAAGAAGGAAAAATCACTAAAAGGTACTTGTTAAGAGAAGTACTTTTAGATATACAGAGAAATTAATCTAATGCTTAAACTATCTAAAAAGACCAAAAAGAATATTTGATAACTATGAATCTGAGAATATATAGCAACTTTCAAAATGCCTTTCAGTTTAGTCATGTTCAGAAACCAGCTCAAAATTCACATTTACCAGTCAAGGGAAAAGTTCAACATGGTATGCAGCTCAGTAGTAAATGAATTCTAAGATGCAGTGTATCTTATTGCTATTATGGTAGGGCATTACAATAATTACTGTACGGTAAGATAATGTTCTCGAGATGACAATTAATTGATAGAAAATAAAATGTTCCTCAGTATTCTATCTATTCCCAAAAGCATGGCTTCTTTAAGGTTGAAACTTAATAGACAAACAAAAAAATAATTCAGGGCTGGTCAGTGGTGCAGCAGTAGCAGAAGCAGATCCACGTGGGAAGGTACCAGGTTGACACCTCTGGGACCCCCCCACACACACACAATGGACATGCCACATGTGCCATACTTCAGCCTGGCTGAGGCTATGAGCAGAAAGAAACTGGCATGGGCATCCTGGGGGGGAGTAACTATCTTTGTTTTTTCTTTCACTTGAAAGAAATGGATAAATGAGCTTAAAAGAAGAAAAAAAATCAATTTCAAAGATGAAATGTCAGGTTACTTTAAAACTTACCTTTTTCTTAGTTGAGATTTCTTTTAGACAACAACAGTACAAAACCACTGCAGGTATGTAAATCAGCAAATCGGCAATTAAAACTGGAAAACAAACCAATAATTTTAACAATGAGTCCAGCAGGATCTATATCAACCCATGTCTTCCCTTCCTCCAACCTTGATAGAAAATTCTATTAACACCAAGTTCCTAACCATCATGGGCAAACCTTTACACACGTAGCACTTTTCATTCTCTTCATGAGTGCCTTTTTTTTTTTTTTTTGGAGAGGTTTTTGCTATAGGGCGCATGCGCTCACTAGAAAGACAGAGAGAGACAGAGAGATAGAAAGCGAGAAATCGCCCATCGGGGAGATGGCCATGCCGCAATCCCTTCTCCTCCATTCTCCTCTCAGGATCTTGGGCACGCATGCACACGCACCCGACGTGAGTTTAAGCCACCAGGTCCAGGACTTGAACTGCAGTCGGCTACATGGGAGTTCAGCGACATAGCCATTATGCTTACTGCTTGTCCCATGAGTGCCTAATTTTAATTGCTAAGTCACAAAGTACTCTCTTTTCTTAATTTACTCCACCAAATCCCATACATTCAATCAATTAGATGTATCCAACATTCTCTGTTCTGATGTGGGCTTAAAAATTTAAAATATCAGGGGCCAGCAGGTGACATGATAGTTAAGGTGCTGATTACAGTTCAAGTCCCAAATCTGGCAATTTGTAAATCATATGCGTGTGCAAGTGTGCTCAAAATCCTGAGAGAACAGAGGGGCTACGACATGGCCATCCCTGCTGAGGGGTGACTTCTCACGTTCTCTCTTCTTCCTCTGCCTCCAGCGAGTGCACGTGCCCTCTGGTAAAAACCTTATAACAAGGAGTTGGGGGGACACTGATAAACCGGAGCATGACCAAAGGAACGCAACAGAGGCCTCAAAATCATCTAAGGACTAGCTAAAAATCCAGGAATGTCTAACCCAGAGAAGATGTGACTTCCAATGTCTGCAGGATGTGAGGTAACCAGATTTGTTCTCTGCAGTCCAAGAAAACACAACCTGGAATGACTGGTGGAAGCTCAATATAAGTAGAAGACTTTAAAAACAAAGAAAAATTCCCAGAAGGTGTGTGGTGCTTGCCAAAAAAAGAGAAAGAAACAAGGAGGGAGAGAGAAAGAAAAAGGGCATGGTCAAGCTGCAGTTGTTTCTCCTCCATTTATCCATGAAGAATGCACGTGTACCTGACGTTTTTCAAGCCGCACGTAGGGAAAAAGCCAGGATTCAAACCATAGCTATGTGGGATCTGGATCCGATGCACACTTAACCGCTGAGTTATGGGGCCGGCCCAAGAAGGAAAGTGTGTTTTATTTATTTTTTGGTACAGGGCATGTGTACTCATCACAGAGAGATGGCGGGGGTGGGGTGAGAAATCACTCCCCCAGGGGGATGACCACACTACAAGCCCCTCTTCTCCATTCTCCTCTTGGGATTTCAGGCAAACACACACAGGCCCAGCATGGCTTTTAATACAAGCGACCAAATCCAAGACTCAAACCATGAGGTTGGCCATGTGGCATCCAGCTGCCTTCACCGCACCACTGGTTGGTCCTCAAGAAGGACTGTTTTTTTAAAGAATTATTTTATTTAACTTTGTTTATTATTATTATTATTACTATTATTATTATTATTGTTAATTTTCCAGTTCAATCAGAGAGACAGAGGGAAAGTGAGAAAGCAAGCCACCAGGTTCAGGACTTGAACTGTAATCAGCCATGTGGGAGTCCGTGACCTGTAACCACCACGCCACCTGCTGGCCCCCAAGAAGAACATTTTTAATGATTGAAACTATCTGGATGTCAAATAGGCTGTCTCTAAAGGTTGGGAGTTCCCTGCAATACAGGTAATGGTTCAGAAGCTAAACAGTCGCATGGTAGGTAGGTACAAAGCTCAGAGAGGAGTAAAGCACTGGAGGGGAAGGGCAGTGGAAGTGGGTTGGGAGACAAGTAAGACAGATTCTCTCTTACACCTGAGATTCCATGACTGAATTTAATAGTAGAGAATAAGCTCTGTCTAAACATAGACTGGTTAAAGAAAAGGCCCAGGCTAGCATTAGTCATGTAAAGATTATACAGAAATCTTGGGCCAGCAGGTGGTATGGTGGTTAGGGCAGCTGGACTGCCATGTGGCTGACAGTGGATCGAGTCCCAGACCTGGTAGCTTGCTTTCTCACTTTCCTTCTCTCTCTCTGATCAACTTCAAAAAAATAAAATAAAATAATGACAATGAATAAAATTAGGAAAAAAATGACATTATAAAGAAATCTAAGCTTATAATTTCATACTCCTACAACAGCACACACAAATTCTTAATCAACATTTATTCAGTGGATTATCCAATTCAGTAACAATGCACAACAATACAATATATGAGATACAACCAGAAGGTTTACTTTAGAAAAAGGTGAAAGGAATTTGAAATTAGGGTATTAAAACAGCAGCCGGAACAACTAAAGTTTCAATTTATAGCTATCTGACCACAGGTAAACTATTAGCCTCGCTTAACTGTGCCTTCGTTTAATAAGGATAAAAACAGTACCTACCTCATTTGAGTATTCAAAGAATTAAGTGAGATAATAAATGTAAAACATTCAGAAGCATTCCTTTCTACTCTTTTGTTGTATAGCTTACATATACATTTGATTTGGTATCATATATACACAGAAGTGCATATGTGTAGTTATATACACAGAACTGCATATGTGTAGTTATATACACAGAAGTGCATATGTGTAGTTATACAGATACACAGAAGTGCATATGTGTGGTTACATACACAGAAGTGCATATGTGTAGTTATACAGATACACAGAACTGCATATGTGTAGTTATATACACAGAAGTGCATATGTGTAGTTACACAGATACACAGAAGTGCATATGTGTAGTTATATACACAGAACTGCATATGTGTAGTTATATACACAGAAGTGCATATGTGTAGTTATACAGATACACAGAAGTGCGTATGTGTAGTTATATACACAGAAATGCATATGTGTGGTTATATACACAGAAGTGAATATGTGTAGTTATATACACAGAACTGCATATGTGTGGTTATATACACAGAAGTGCATATGTGTAGTTATACAGATACACAGAAATGCATATGTGCAGTTCTATCATTTAAAAAGCAGTAAGTGCAGTAATCAAAGCTTTCATCGGTGTGTTCAAAATGTTTTAAAAATCAAATTTTACACACATCGCCTATTCCTCTTTTACCTGTCATTCTCATGAAGAACTTATGAGCCTGACTCTCATAGCCACGTGATGTATGGAGAGCAATCCAGTCTGGGTTTATAAACTTTGCCCTGCAAATTTAAACATATACACATGCACTTACTGTTCACCACTTTTAGTAATAAGGACATTTGAGAACATACAAATTTACTTTGAGAATTAGCCATTGCTCTTTTTTTTTTTTTTAGAATGATTTATTTATTATTATATATTTTTTTAATTTGCTATAGGGCACATGTGCTCTCCAGAGAGAGAGTGAGAAAGCAAGCCACCAGGTCTAGGTCTAGAACCATGGTCAGCCAAGTGGGAGTCCAGTGCCTTAACCACATGCCACCTGCTGGCCCTGACCATTGCTCTTTTAAAGCAATAGTCAATGCTTAAGCCTTTACTCTTTTTTTATTTAATCATATCAAACTGACTTACACTGTAAACAGCACCTGCCTTGCTCATCTTCCCAAAAAACCATATAACATTTAACTAGAACATTTCATAGTTCTTTCAGGTAAAAAACAACTTGTGTCATATTTCATTTATTAAACACATATTTTGTAAAGAACAATTGCTATTGTAGTATTAACTAGATGATTATGTTTTACTTATAATTCTTTTCAGTTAAAATAATAATTGGCCAGGGCCAGTAGGTGGTGTGGCAATTAAGGCACTGGACTCCCACATGGCCAACCACGGTTTGAGTCCCAGATCTGGCAGCTTGTTTTCTCTCTCTCTCTCCCTCTCTCTCTCTCTGGGGAACACATATGTCCTACTTAAACAAACTTAAAAATAAAAAATAATATATGGGAGACCAGCAGTTGGCATAACAGCTATGTCACTAGACTCCCATGTAGTAGATCACGGTTCGAGTCCCAGACCCGGTGGCTTAAACTCATGCAGGCTGCGTGTGCATGAGTACCCAAGATCCCAAGAGAGGAATGGAGGAGAAGGGATTGAGGCATGGCCATACCCCTGGGGGATGATTTCTCTTCTTCTGCCTCTCTGTCTCTCTCTTTCTGGCGAGCACATGCACCCTATAGCAAAAACTTCTCTGGGGAAAAAAAAAAAAGAATAACAATTGCCATAATAAATAGCCATTAACCATAAATCATTGTATAAAACTAAGTTTCATTTTTTCTCAATAACAAATATTGAGGAAAAAATGAAATTTTCTATTGTATTATGTTACCCTGAAACTGCAAAGTATAGCAGACTATCATGATGTCTGGGTGTTGATTTGGACTCCATAAAACTTATTTTTACAAATTTTGACATGGCTAAAGTTGAAATAATAAAGCAAGGACGATGAGTTAAGAAAATAATGTAAAGAAGTTCCTCAAATTTCTGCTGAGACACTTCAAGTCTGGGATGAAATACCACCACAGAATAGAACTGGGTCTCAAAATAGAAGTTCCTCAACTTCTAGAAATGATTCTGTTTCTTTAAAAGGAAGAATCCCAATCCCAATCTTAAATCATAAGTAAAACACTATAATAATTCTAGCTTCTAACTTGGCAGATTAGTCAGAATGCCACTTGGACCAATATTGTTCATTTACTTTGGACCATTCCAGAAAAAAACCTTTCCCGTGCACAACTAACACATATTATATATATTTCTCAGGAGTCCTTTCATGATTGGCAATACCCTTACTCCAAAATAAAGCTAGGTTTTTGCATTTCTTTCTAAGCTGTCCTCCCATGAAACTATAGAAATTTTCAAACATGGTTCCCTTTCTTAAAACCGACATGGAAGATATATACAGTAATAACTACAAGCCATCTCTCCTCTATTCAACTAAGCCGGATCATGCTGTTTCTTACTGTATCTGCTAAGTACACAAATATTTAGAGTATAATAAGGAAGAAAAACTTACACATAGGCACATAAGAGACTGTGATAAGCCGTAAGAGGTGGGTAATCCAATCCCCAATATTGTAAATTATTATCACTGCTATTAAAATACCTGGGAGGGGGGAAAACACTTCATCAGTAAATATTCAAGAAATAGACTTACAATTAAATATTTCATTTAATTTCATTAAAAATTAAGCTTAAAAATCTAGTTTTTTAAAAGAATTATTTATTGGGACCAGCAGTTAGCATAATGGCTATGTCGCTGAATTCCCACGTAGTCAACCACAGTTCAAGTCCTGGACCTGGTGGCTTAAAACTCATGCCGGGCGCATGTGCATGCGTGCCCAAGATCCCAAGAGAATGGAGGAGAAGGGACTGTAGCGTGGTCATCCCCCCCTCGGGGGTGATTTCTCACTTTCTGTCTCTCTGTCTCTCTCTTTCTGGCGAGTGCACGTGCCCTATAGCAAAAACCTCTAAAAAAAAATTTTATTTATTTATTTAATTCCATGTGTTATTATTATTATTTTATTTTGACCAGAGAGAGACAGAGAGTGAAAGGGAAAAGGAGAAAGCAAGCCACCAGGTCCAGGATTCAAACCATGGTCAGCCATGTGGGAATCCAGCATCTTTAACCACCATGCCACCTGCTGGCCCCTAAAAATTTACTTTTAAGCTATCTACTAATAATTAAGCCATGAAACAGACAAACCAGGACTGTCTCAAACAAACTAGAACTTATCTTCACATATTATGAGGTGACTTAATCTATGACTAACAACTCATACAACAAAAAATATATAACGAAAGAGAGAATTTGCATCTGGGCCCTTGAATGTATACAATTACCTCTCTGAGTGTAGGCCAAAGCTGTGACTTGCTTCCAACCAATAGAATATAACAAGTATAATGTGATGTTACTCTTTTGCTTATATTTTATGTATAGGTTAAGATTCTGCCTTGCCATTAGATATGACAGACTCTCTCTCACTAACTTTGAAGAAGCAAGTTGTCACGTTTTAGTAAATTTCTTTTTTTTTTTTTTTTGGAGAAATCTTTTTGCTATAGGGTGCATGCGCTCGCCAGACAGAGAGACAGAAAGTGAGAAATCACCCCCCAGGGGGGATGGTCACACCGCAATCCCTTCTCCTCTGTACTCCTCTAGGGATCTTGGGCACACACGCACACGCGCCCGGTGTGAGTTTTAAGCCACCGGGTCCAGGACGCGAACCGCGGTCGACTACGTGGGAGTGCAGCGACATAGCCATTACGCTAACTGCTGGTCCCCGTTTTAGTAAATTTCAATGTTGGAGAAACCACATGGCAAAAAAATTACAAGTGAAGTTTAGAAGCTGAGGCTAGCTTCTGAAAAGAAACTGAAGCCTTCAGTCTTGTATATGCAAGGAAATCAATTCTGCCAACAACCCGAGGAAACTTTAAAGTGCATCCTTCCCCAGCTGAGCCTCTAGTAAATCTGTAGCCCAGCTGACACTTGGATTACAGCCTTCTGAGACCTTGAGTAGAATATAAAGTTGAACTGTGACCAGATTTCTGACCTAAATAAAGAAACTACAATAACTGGAGCTAGCAGTGGCATAGTGGTTAAGGCACTGGACTCCCAAGTGGCAACCACAGTTCAAGTTCCAGACCCAGTGGCTTGAAACTCACACCAGGTGCATGAGTTTCAAAATCCTGCAAGGAAAAAAGTGGAGAAGGGATTGTGGCATAGCCATCCCCCTGGAGGAGGGTGATTTTTCGGTTTCTATCTCTTTGTCTCTCTCTGTCTCTCCAGTGAACACATGCACTCTATAACAAAAGTCTCTAAAAGAGAAAGAAAGAAAGAGAGAGAGAGAGAGAGGAAGAAAGGAAGGAAGGAAGAGAGGAAGAAAGAAAGGAAGGAAGGGAGGAAGGGAGAAAGGAAGGACGAACCAGCAGATAGCATGGCAGTTATGTTGCTGGACTCCTTCATGCCCAATAGTGGTTTGTGTTTCCGACTGGTGGCATGAAAATCACGCTGGGCATATGTGCATATGTGTGTGTGCATGTCTAAGATCCTGGGAGGAGAATGGAGGAGAAGGGATTGCGGCATGACCATCCCTATCCCCCCCGGGGACAATTTCTCATTTTCCCTCTCATAGTCTCTGTCTCTCTCTGGTGAGAACATGCGCCCTAAGGCAAAAAACATCTCCAAAAAAAAAGGAAAAAAGAAACTGTACAATAAATATATGTTTAAGTTATTGATAGCTTTTTGCTACATAGCACGGAAAATTAATTGAACTGTTCATTTAAAAATCATACAATCATCTCTCAGTAGTACACAGAGGAAACCAGATCCCACGGCCAACTATTGAGTCCCAGCCCCAGCAGCCTGGAAAACATGCCAGGTACACAGACACATGTCCAGCAGCCTGACAGGATGAAGAACTGGAGGATAAAAGGGTGTGTCATAATCAGGCCTCATTGGATGGTTCTCTCTCTTTCTCTCATACAATCACACACAGGCACAAACACTATGAAGCTATCGCTATAACCACAGCTAACATTTATGAAGAGCTCAGCGTATGCCAGGCACTTGTCTAAGTGCTTTCACATTAATCGTTTCATTCAATCTTCCCCAAAACCTAGTGACGTATGTAGTCTAATCTTTCCACTCTACAAGTGCTAACGCTACGGGAGAGAAAGCTAAGCCACCTGCCCGAAGTCAGAGCCAGTAAATAGCACGATGAGGCTCTGCGCTAGGGCAGTCCCGCTCTAGCACTGCCACTCTTCAGCACTAACTGCTGCTTTTTTTCGTACCTCATACATTCTAAACAGAAGCCTTATGAAATCTCCAGGTGATTTGCATATAAAATTAAGGTTAATCACCACTGCTCAAGTGACTGAGAACGATAATAATTCATTAAAATCTTCTATGAAGTTCCTTCTTGAAAAACAAGATTCTGTAAATTCTGAACCATGAAACCGGTGAAGGGTAGGGCTGACGTCCTTTGTAATATGCAGAAAAAAAATATGAAAATGAGACCAGGTGAAAGAGAATACATAAGCACTCATTCCTTCAGCAAGTACAAGTTTTTAATTTTGTTACAGGTGTTTGTACATGTCGGAGACGAAAAGAGAGAGGGAGAGGCAAAGTATTCCTCTCCCCACGGGGGATGGCCACAAAGCAATCCCTTCTCCTCATTCTCCTTTTGGGATTTTTGAGCATGCAGGCCTACGTACCTGGCGTGTTTTCCAAGTCACTGACTCTGGGTCACAACTCCACAATTGGCCACGTGGGATATAGTGCCTTAACACCCACACCACTGACGGGCCCTTCAAAACATTTTTATTGAGGTTTACAAAGTGCTATGCCCTCTACTAGATGCAGAGTATTCAAAGATAAGCCAAAGGGACATAAGAAAAATCTTTTAGAGTTGAAAACAACAACTATTACTGTAGGCTTCTCCCCCTGGTTCCTTTCTCAGCTCTGCAAAGTCAGCCACCTGCTATTGGCAAGGCTCGCTTCTGTTTTTATCTACACCTATATCCATACCGATCTTTAGTGAGCAGTGGGTGAGGGAACCGGGAAAAGACATTTTCAGCCCACGATGCCCATGTCCAGAGGAGGGTCTAAGATATGTTGTATCCTATCGTCAATCTTTGAGCTCAGTAAGCATGTCCCAGCTGAGAATATGGATAGCTTTCAGGTCTATAATGTTTCAAATCTGGGTCTATAATATACAAGGAAATATATGTGTGGCAACTGTATGCAGGAGAAGATGTTCATGATGGAGCAAACAGCATATTTTCTTTTTAAATATCTTCCAATAATCTACATTAACTGACTAGGCTAAACAATAAAATCAAGTTAAAATTACCATACCACTGTTTGATTGGTAAATTTAAAGTAATTTCTTGCCAGTGTCTCTGAGCTTCATAATCACCAAACAAAGGGGGTTTTCCAGCACCTAGGATAAAAGGTAAAAAGAGGAAAAACAACAATGTACTTTAGCACATCAGTGATTTTAATTCCCTTATGAAATTTTCTAAATTATGACAGCAATACAGGTTAAAGAAAGAACACAGGAGTTACCAAAAAAGTCAAAGAGATGAGATCTGAATCCTCGTATTGCTGGCATACTGGGTGACCGCATGACATTGATCAAATTACTTACCCTCTGTAAGTCTCAGCTCATTGAAGACAGGATTGGGGCTAGACACAGTGATAAAATGTGACATTCTGCAAGCCTGACCTACGTGGGAAGATTCCAGATTCCTGACCAGAGACCTCCCTTAGAACACCAAGCACATGTCTGCCCACGATTCAGGGATGGCTAAAGATGGGGATGGATCGTGGCATCAAGACCCCGTTGGGGGGCCAGCAGGTGGTATGGTAGTTAAGGCGCTGGAATTCCTACATGGCCCACCACAGTTCGAGTCCCAGACCTGGCCACTTTCTCACTCTCTTTTTCTCTCTGGAAAAAAAAAATAATAATAAAGGGTGATTTTTCGGTTTCTATCTCTTTGTCTCTCTCTGTCTCTCCAGTGAACACATGCACTCTATAGCAAAAGTCTCTAAAAGAGAAAGAAAGAAAGAGAGAGAGAGAGAGAGGAAGAAAGGAAGGAAGGAAGAGAGGAAGAAAGAAAGGAAGGAAGGGAGGAAGGGAGAAAGGAAGGACGAACCAGCAGATAGCATGGCAGTTATGTTGCTGGACTCCTTCATGCCCAATAGTGGTTTGTGTTTCCGACTGGTGGCATGAAAATCACGCTGGGCATATGTGCATATGTGTGTGTGCATGTCTAAGATCCTGGGAGGAGAATGGAGGAGAAGGGATTGCGGCATGACCATCCCTATCCCCCCCGGGGACAATTTCTCATTTTCCCTCTCATAGTCTCTGTCTCTCTCTGGTGAGAACATGCGCCCTAAGGCAAAAAACATCTCCAAAAAAAAAGGAAAAAAGAAACTGTACAATAAATATATGTTTAAGTTATTGATAGCTTTTTGCTACATAGCACGGAAAATTAATTGAACTGTTCATTTAAAAATCATACAATCATCTCTCAGTAGTACACAGAGGAAACCAGATCCCACGGCCAACTATTGAGTCCCAGCCCCAGCAGCCTGGAAAACATGCCAGGTACACAGACACATGTCCAGCAGCCTGACAGGATGAAGAACTGGAGGATAAAAGGGTGTGTCATAATCAGGCCTCATTGGATGGTTCTCTCTCTTTCTCTCATACAATCACACACAGGCACAAACACTATGAAGCTATCGCTATAACCACAGCTAACATTTATGAAGAGCTCAGCGTATGCCAGGCACTTGTCTAAGTGCTTTCACATTAATCGTTTCATTCAATCTTCCCCAAAACCTAGTGACGTATGTAGTCTAATCTTTCCACTCTACAAGTGCTAACGCTACGGGAGAGAAAGCTAAGCCACCTGCCCGAAGTCAGAGCCAGTAAATAGCACGATGAGGCTCTGCGCTAGGGCAGTCCCGCTCTAGCACTGCCACTCTTCAGCACTAACTGCTGCTTTTTTTCGTACCTCATACATTCTAAACAGAAGCCTTATGAAATCTCCAGGTGATTTGCATATAAAATTAAGGTTAATCACCACTGCTCAAGTGACTGAGAACGATAATAATTCATTAAAATCTTCTATGAAGTTCCTTCTTGAAAAACAAGATTCTGTAAATTCTGAACCATGAAACCGGTGAAGGGTAGGGCTGACGTCCTTTGTAATATGCAGAAAAAAAATATGAAAATGAGACCAGGTGAAAGAGAATACATAAGCACTCATTCCTTCAGCAAGTACAAGTTTTTAATTTTGTTACAGGTGTTTGTACATGTCGGAGACGAAAAGAGAGAGGGAGAGGCAAAGTATTCCTCTCCCCACGGGGGATGGCCACAAAGCAATCCCTTCTCCTCATTCTCCTTTTGGGATTTTTGAGCATGCAGGCCTACGTACCTGGCGTGTTTTCCAAGTCACTGACTCTGGGTCACAACTCCACAATTGGCCACGTGGGATATAGTGCCTTAACACCCACACCACTGACGGGCCCTTCAAAACATTTTTATTGAGGTTTACAAAGTGCTATGCCCTCTACTAGATGCAGAGTATTCAAAGATAAGCCAAAGGGACATAAGAAAAATCTTTTAGAGTTGAAAACAACAACTATTACTGTAGGCTTCTCCCCCTGGTTCCTTTCTCAGCTCTGCAAAGTCAGCCACCTGCTATTGGCAAGGCTCGCTTCTGTTTTTATCTACACCTATATCCATACCGATCTTTAGTGAGCAGTGGGTGAGGGAACCGGGAAAAGACATTTTCAGCCCACGATGCCCATGTCCAGAGGAGGGTCTAAGATATGTTGTATCCTATCGTCAATCTTTGAGCTCAGTAAGCATGTCCCAGCTGAGAATATGGATAGCTTTCAGGTCTATAATGTTTCAAATCTGGGTCTATAATATACAAGGAAATATATGTGTGGCAACTGTATGCAGGAGAAGATGTTCATGATGGAGCAAACAGCATATTTTCTTTTTAAATATCTTCCAATAATCTACATTAACTGACTAGGCTAAACAATAAAATCAAGTTAAAATTACCATACCACTGTTTGATTGGTAAATTTAAAGTAATTTCTTGCCAGTGTCTCTGAGCTTCATAATCACCAAACAAAGGGGGTTTTCCAGCACCTAGGATAAAAGGTAAAAAGAGGAAAAACAACAATGTACTTTAGCACATCAGTGATTTTAATTCCCTTATGAAATTTTCTAAATTATGACAGCAATACAGGTTAAAGAAAGAACACAGGAGTTACCAAAAAAGTCAAAGAGATGAGATCTGAATCCTCGTATTGCTGGCATACTGGGTGACCGCATGACATTGATCAAATTACTTACCCTCTGTAAGTCTCAGCTCATTGAAGACAGGATTGGGGCTAGACACAGTGATAAAATGTGACATTCTGCAAGCCTGACCTACGTGGGAAGATTCCAGATTCCTGACCAGAGACCTCCCTTAGAACACCAAGCACATGTCTGCCCACGATTCAGGGATGGCTAAAGATGGGGATGGATCGTGGCATCAAGACCCCGTTGGGGGGCCAGCAGGTGGTATGGTAGTTAAGGCGCTGGAATTCCTACATGGCCCACCACAGTTCGAGTCCCAGACCTGGCCACTTTCTCACTCTCTTTTTCTCTCTGGAAAAAAAAAATAATAATAATAAATAAATAAATAATTCTTAAAAAAAAAAAAAGAAAGAAAGAAAAAAGAGCCTGTCAGGAATGTTGTCTCTCTGTTCTCTCTCATTCATAGAATACAAATTTCAATAAATTTTAGAAATAAATAAAAGTGTTAAAAAGAAAAATGCATCAGCCCCATGGCCTGGTGGCTGGGATGGGGGGCACATATCACAGGGCTAACTGTACCATTCCAGTCTCGACCCTGGCAGCTTGAAAAGCACACCAGGCATGTACGCATATGTATCCCAAACCCCAATGGGGTGGACAGATGGAGAAGAGATTGCAGCATGGCCTACTAAAGGGGTGCTTTCCCACTCTTCCTCTCTAACTCTCTGTCCCTCTCTGGAGAAGGCACATCCATTCTGGCAAAACTTTATCTTTTTTATTTAAAAAAATTGTTTTTAGGTTTTTGCCACAGGGCACATGTACTAGCTAAAGACAGAGAAAAGGAAAGTGAGAAATCACTTCCCAGGAAGGATGACCATGCTGCAATCCCTTCTCCCCCATTCCTCTCTCGGGATTTTGGACACACATGCTCCCAGCATGATTTTCAAGCCACAGTGTCCAGGACTTGAACTGTGGTCAGCCATGTGGCAGTCCAACACTTTAACCATCACACCCTGCTGGCCCTGGTGAAAATTATTTTAAAAAATAAAAAGAAAAAAGATCAGTACAAACTACCTAGACAACTTAGTGGAATAAATTAAGATAGTGAATATAAATATTCAGTACAGTGTCAGAAACAGAGTAAACATTCAAATAATAGAAGCTATTTGTTAACATTACTTAGGAATAAGATATCCAAGTTTGTTTTTACTGCATGAGAAAAACTGTCAACTATACTTTCAAAAAGTACCATAAAATAATAAAAGGAAGTACCTGCAATTCATAAAGGGTTTTACAAACTAAACATAAGTAACTTAGTATCAAGTATAGAACCAAAACAGCTCTATATTACAAAGACATCAGATAGGTAAAGTTTTGCTGTCAAATAAATTACATAAAAATTGTCAGTTTATGAGGCCAACAGGTGGAATGGTGGTTAAGGCGCTGGACACTTCCACATGGCCAACCACAGTTCAAGTCCTGGACCTGGTGGCTTGCTTTCTCACTTTCCCTCTCTCTCTCTGTCTCTGTCTCTCTCTGGTCAAATTTTAAAAATAAATGAATGAGGAGCCAGCAGTTGGTGTAACAGCTGTATCACTGGACTCCCATGTAGTTGACTGCAGTTCTAGTCCCGGACCCAGTAGCTTAAACTCACGCCAGGCACGTGTGCGTGCTCGCCCAAGATCCCAAGAGAGAATGGAGGAGAAGGGGTTGCTGCGTGGCCATCCCCCAGGGGGATGATTTCTCACTTTCTGTCTCTCTGTCTCTCTCTGTGTTTCACCTCTCCAAAAAATAAAAATTAAAAATTAGTGAATAAATGAATGAATAAAATAAAATAATTTTTAATTGTCAATTTATGTGTTTTTAATGCAAAATAGCAAATAAGAGATAATTAGCCTTTAATTACTAACACTTGATAATACCTACTAGATGCCAAAGACAACTCTATGAAATCAGTATTTTTTTACATTTTATTTTTTATTTATTTGTAATGCCTTACAACTTGATTAAGAAAGCTGTAATCCTGGGGTACCAGCAGATGACATAATGTTTATGTCCACGTAGTCGACTGCAATTCAAGCCCCGGATGCAGGCGGCTTAAACCTCATGCCAGGCACGTGTGCATGCCCAAGATCCAAAGAGGAGAAGGGATTATGGAATAATTGTCCCCTCTATCAGAATTTCTCATTTTCTGTCTCTCTTATCTTTTTGGCGAGCACACATGTCCTATGGCAAAAATCTCTCTTTAAAAAGAAAAAAAAAGGGGACCAGCAGAAGGCGTGGTGGTTAAGGCACTGGACATTCCCACATGGCCAACCTCAGTTCAAGTCCCAGACCTAGTGGCTTACTTTCTCACTTTCCCTCTTTCTCTCTCTCTCTCTATCTGGTCAAATTAAAATAAAATGAATCAATGAATGAATGAATGAATAAAATTAAATAAATCTAAAAAAAAAAAAGAAGAAAGAAGAAACTGTGATCCTAAAATCATTTAAAATGACATAGAGATATTTCCATTTAGCAAACAGTAAATACCCTCTTATCCTTTAACTTGCAATTGACTATAAGATTGTGAGAAAGTGGGACCAGCAGATGGCATAATGGTTATGTCTCTAGACTCCCACATGGCCAACTGGCAGTTTGAGTCCTGGACGTGGTGGATTAAAACTTATGCCTGGGTGCATGTGCACATATGCCCAAAATCCCAAGAGGAGAATTGCAGCATGGCCATCCCTTGGGGGCTGATTTCTCACTTTCTGTCTCTTTCTGTCTCTCTGGCAAGCACACGTACCCTATAGCAAAAATCTCTCCCTAAAAAAAAATAATAATAATTGTGAGAAAGCCCAAAAAAGTAGAGTCCCAAGTTTTTAAATCAGCAAGTAAGATGAAAATCACATCTAATAAAATATACTCATTAATCCATTAATAAGGTGTGTCACATTGAAGAGTGACATCCTAGTAATTAGTGCTCACTGAAATTCAACACAGATTTTCTAAAAACCTTTAGAACACCACATTAAGTAGATTATTGCATTTAATAGTTACAGAATACCAATATTCTTTAAATTCTAGGATCTCTATCAAAGGAGAAACTCCCACTGTAAGATAATCATGGGAAAAGCAGATTAATATCTCTATAGCATATACACATTGCATCACTACATAGCACAAGAAATTCCCTGCAGTGTATTTATACGTGTGTATACACATACACACCCCCTTCTGTCTCTCAGAAAGAACCATATCTGGTTCACATTTATATTCTCAGGTTATCATAGAACCTAGTAGATTCTCAATGATACCTAGTAGCTTCTCATTAACTGATAATAGAGAAAGGATTTGATATAATCAAGTGTGTGTGACACAGCAAGGATTTTAAGTTCAAAAGACTTGGGTTCCACTTACCGAATGTGCAGTATTAGTCTGTGATGGCAGACTAATTATGCCCAGGATGCTTTCACAGGATATACATATATTGGTTCCTACCCTCAAAAATCTTTACTGTCTGGCACTTTGAATTTTTTTTTTAATAATTAACGTGGTTTATTTATAAGCATGAATATGTGTAACCTAGGCCCTAAGAGGAGGCAAAACATGCCTTTCTTAACATTTTAAGCATCTGGAGATGCTCTTAATCTGGAGAAAGGTATGTATGCCTCTCCTCCGGGCCTACGTCACTCATATTTCGCTTGGAAATAAACTGCATTAATTATTAATTATTAATTTTTACAGCTGGTTATTTTTCCGTCGACAAGATGGCAACCATGAAGGGACCAGAGATGAACCAGAGATCTTCTGAGGGGATGCTTTGAACCCAGTGCCTGGTACCAGCAATGGACCCTTTGTGACCTCTCAGGCTCCAAGGCTCTCCTTGGGGGAGATCTGGCCTGACTTTTCCCTTCACCCAGAGACAAGTGGCTATTGAGTCAGACATGTCCTTCCCCCAGGACTCCATTGCCTATAACCAACCGTGGGACCTGACTCCTAGGGATGAACCTCCCTAGCACCGTGGGACCTGACTCCTAGGGATGAGCCTCCCTAGCACCGTGGGACCTGACTCCTAGGGATGGAGCCTTCCTAGCACCATACCTGTCAATTTTGTAGTCTGCACATGCAACAGAGGAATGATTTTGGGCCAATAGTGGACAGAAGTCTGACTATTTTTCCTATTTTCCAAAATCTTTTCAAAAGGGACTGGGGAAGTCATGTCCACAAACATTAATAGACCATTTATTCTCCATTAACAGAATTCTTCCTATATCCTGTCCCTGGCATAGTATTTTTGAGATGTATATTCCAAACAATTACGGTATATTCTTTTGCTTCCCAAGACACAGAACTTCCCTTTCTTTGAGATGTAGATGAAGACTTTCTTTAACTAATCTCTTCCCAAGACACAGATCTTCCCTTCCAATCACCAACCTAAAAATTGTGGAATTCACCTATAACGCACAAGCCCCCACTTCCACATGTCCCGCCTTTTTGGGCCATACCAATCAAAAATCTCTTCACTAAATTTTGTCTGTCAATCTCAAAAACAAATAAAAGGAACCCCTGTATGTGATCACCCTGAGAAATGCATGTATGCCTTTTCTCCAGACCTAGGTCACACCTATTTGGCTTGAAGATAAGCTGCATTAATTATTAATTATTAAAAAAAAAATTTAAGCGTCTATTCATGTGCTTACTACCTATTCTTTATGCTTCTTTCTTTTTTAAAAAATAATTACTTAGCCCCCTCCCCTCAGCGCAGCCGCGCGCGCGCCGGAACAGCCTGGCCGGCCGGGGGGCCTCCCTGCCCCTCCCTGCCTCTCTGGCCCGGGATGGCCCGGAGGCCGAAAACAAGG